TGCGTGTGCTGCACAAGAAAGCACGGATGGCCTTGGCCTTTAAATAAGTTTTCTATAATAAAAAACAGTTTTGTTCGATTTCCTGGCATGCATTTAATTAATTAACCCTAAATCCACCCCATGCCTTTATCCACCCAGGAATGTTAAGAAGTACAAATATATTAAATTTGATCAGCAGCTGGCATATATGTATCCTTTCGCGACCAATGTAATCCATGAACGTAGTGCTCGGATTGTAAATGTTGTGCATTTACTCTCCAACACACCTGCATGCTGTACGAGTAACTAAATGGCATGGGTGTGGGCTGTGCGTGAGAGTGGGTGAGGGTGAGCTGCGTGTGAGTGAGCTGTGTGTGTGTTTAAATTTAGTGTTTTAAAGATGTCAATTCACCTGCTGTGTATCTTACTACTGTCCCTCCCGGCCATATCTAGTGCCACACTCAACTCTACAAACGGCTACCCGCGTTACTTCGCGTCAATACTTATTGCTAAATTTGCAACTACACCTGCTAATGAAACAACTTATAGACACTTCTACACTCCATCATTATATCCTTTTAAACCCTATCTTTGTCCCATTACTTCACCAGCACTCCTTCCAAACTTCATTCTGCTCTTAAAAATAACACCATCTGCGAGCTGCTGCTATTCGTCCAAGGTTCGTCGCTCTTCATCCTTTCACAGAAAATACCTGTGCAAACTATTAATTCTACTTTTCTTATTTCTGGGTGGTATTGAGCTTCATCCTGGACCAAATGTAAAGAACTCATATAATTCTGTAGATTTTTCTGGCAGAAAAGGTGTTGGTGTTCTACATGTCAACATCAGAGGGCTTTTGATTAAATTAAGTCAACTAAAACTAGAAGTAGCAAATCTTGACCCGGACATATTTTGCCTAACAGAAACATTTCTCACTCCTGCCGTCAATGACTTGCAGATTACGATTGACAACTACAATCTTTTTCGGCTTGACCGAGGATCTAAAGGAGGTGGAATTGCCATCTATGTTCGTAATACTATTGCATGTTCACCAGCTCACTCCTTGTTTAAAAAATGTTGCTTTGAAGGTCTGGCTCTCAGAATAACTCTCCCTAATAATCAACACATATTGGTAGTGTGCTGCTATAGACCGCCTAGTGGGAAGGATGTTGAAGCTGCATCTGCACTGAGAGAGCTTCTTGGGGGCCTCCCTAAAGGTGAAATAGTTTTAGTGGGTGATCTAAATTGGAATTGGCTAAACCCGCCGGCCGTGGCCACAAATTTTGCAGATGAATTTAACCTGTTTCAATTAATAAATATCCCCACAAGACCCAACCTAAAAAATCCGGGACAGTCATCTCTGCTTGACGTCCTATTGACAAATGCCCCTCACAATTTCGCACTGACTGGTGTTCTAGGTAATAACCTTAGTGATCACTCCTTCATTTTTGGGGTGAGATCATCAGCCAGACCCAAAGCCCCCCCTAAATTGGTTGAGAAGCACTCCATGAGACACTTCAGCACTCAGGCATTTACTAATGATGTGCTTCACTCGGATATTGACAAGGTCTGTGATATTCCAAACCTGACTACGGCTTGGGAGACCTTCAGGTACACGTTTCTCCAAATTCTTAACAAACATGCTCCGTTGGTTAAATTTAAAACTAAAGGCAACCGTCCACCATGGTTTGATCCTTTGATTACAAAGCTCATGAAAACTAGGGACAAGGCTTGGGCATGTGCTCAGAAAAGTAATTTGGTCAATGACTGGCTAGAATACAGGATTTTAAGGAATAGATGCGTCAAAAAAATACGGCATGCAAAAAATAACTACTTCTCTTCCACTCTCCTTGAATCTCATGGAAATGCCAGGATTTTCTGGAAAACAATCAAATGTATCGAAAAGGCATCCAAAACAGATCATCTGCCCGTTCAGCTTAACCGAAATGGGGAATATTTTTCAGATCCCCAAAAAATAGTTGACAATTTTAACCTTCATTTTTCTGAAGCTGGTACCCTATTTGATAATGTATTGGGAGTCACCCCTGCTCATGCAAATTCCTACACTCCTGTCCAAACATTAAGCGAATTTAGTTTTCAGCCAATCCACGAAAGTAATGTTCTGAAACAACTGTCCTACCTCAAAGGGTCCTCCTCTACCGGAGCAGATAGTATTCCCGTCTTTGCTCTACTAACTGTTGGTCACCTAATATACAAACCTATAGCCCATATTTTCAACCTGTCCATCAAAGAAGCATCAGTTCCTCTAGAATGGAAACATTCCTATGTTCGTCCACTTCACAAAGGGGGCCCTAAAGATGATCCAAATAACTACCGACCTATCTCAATTTTGTCCCCGTTGATGAAAATTTTTGAAAAATTATTGACCTACCAAATTAGCAGTTTCCTGTCCGCCAACAATCTATTACATCTAAAACAATCTGGGTTCCGAAAAAAATACAGCACCACATCTGCTGCATTAGACTCTCTGAATCACATTTACAGTAGCCTTGATAATAAGCAGTACTGCGCCTGTCTTTTTCTTGACTTGTCCAAAGCTTTTGATACAGTAGACCACAACATCCTGCTTAGTAAAATAAGTTGCCTCGGTTTTTCCGAAAACACAGTAAAATGGTTAAAAAATTACCTTATTTCTCGCACCCAAACTGTATTCACAGAGGGTTGGAGGTCAAACAGTGTTAAGATAACAAAAGGGGTTCCACAGGGTTCCATTCTCGGCCCCCTCTTGTTCTCTCTTTATGTAAATGACTTGGGCACTGAACTGGATTATTCCAGGGTAAATCTTTTTGCAGATGACACGGTACTAATTACTGCTGGCCGCTCTCCGGATGACGTGATTGCTAAGCTCCAGAGTGATTTCAACAAACTACAACATCAGCTAGTTGCTCTTAAACTAGTCCTAAATCCTGCCAAAACCAAGGTGCTATGCTTCTCACCAGGACTAAAGCGGGAAGTTATTTTTCCCCAATTACATACCTTAAATAATGATCAAATAGAGCAAGTCAAGATCTATAAGTATCTTGGGGTCATCCTGGATTCAAAACTGAATTTTGAAGATCACATTGATTATATTGGGAAAAAGACAAAAATTAAAATTGGTTTTCTATATCGACACAAGCACTGCTTCCCCCCTATGTTCCGTTTGGAATTGATTAAAGCTACCATACTGCCTCTACTTGATTACTGTGACATTGTGTATAAATCAGCCCCAAGTACTGTACTGAAGAAGCTTGACTCAATGTATCACTCGGCCTTAAGATTTGCATTGAACTGCCCATATAGGACTCACCACTGTGATCTCTACATTGGGTCAAACTTAACATCTCTGAATGTTCGACGGCTTGTGCACCAGATCTTATTTATTCATGATGTACTTGCAAAAAAATCTGCAGATTACCTGCTGGATCTCGTCTCTGTTTCAAAGAACAAATTTGACCTAAGGTCTACACTCATTTACCAGCTTAATATTCCCTATTGCCGTACATATACTGGAGGAAGGGCCTTTGCTACTGATGCCCCCAGGGTCTGGAATGCTGTTGCAAATAAATTGAAACTTGAGTCACTACCTATGAGATCTTCACTCAAAACTGCTTTAGAGGAGTTGTACACCCCTAGCTGCCAGTGCTATTCAGTGACCTAAAATAAAATGTTTCGCTCTGGATGATCGCTACAAAGTGTGACCTGTGTTTTGATTTAGTGTGCTGATCTTAAAGGTGCATTGAAAATTTACAATACTCCGATTGATGCTCCTGCTGTTGTGGAGTGACTCATGCAGCCAGCTATGGCTGCAGGGTTTTCGTAGTACATGTTGTTTATGCCATTTATTGTGAAAATTCCGTCACAGTTCCTATGATTGCTTTTTCATTGCTTTCATGGCTTTATTTTGGTGATTTCGAAAAGTGTATTGGTTTAGCCATGTTTGTGTTGTTGTAGTACAGAGTTAGACTGATGGCCTTAATCTAAGTTGTCTTGTGGTTGTTGTTGTTTGTTGTAGTACAGAGTTAGACTGATGGCCTTAATCTAAGTTGTCTTGTGGTTGTTGTTGTTGTTTGACTTGCATCCCACTGGGATTTTTGCACACAGCGTTGGTGTACGGTGTTTTTTCTGCAATATTTTTGCTGTCTTTTCTTGGATTTTCTGTTTGCACTTAGTCACATATTCACTTTAAGATGTTTTTTGTTCATGTTTTTTGTTTTTTTGTTTGTTGCGGTTGCACCCGATTCAAGAGCTGAATGGCTCACAGGGCTATACCTAATAAATGAACTTGAACTTGAACTTGATGTTCTGTTTACGTGACAAACCTTTCTAATTGGCTGTGTCGGGTGGTGTTGGGTTTAACGACACAGTTATATTTACACGATCTAACCCAAAAATACGTATTATAGCTGCCATATAGTTGGGTAAAATGTGTGTGCATGCACCTATGCCAGGATATCCAGCCATCGTGGAAGAGTACTAGTTATATCTGCTTTTAAGCTAATTTTTGCGGAGGCCCATTCAACCAGTATAAATGTGATCAAATAATTGCATGGGCTATACCTTTACCGCTTACAGTCGGTTGTTGAATGTGTTGAAATTCTATTGCACGGGTTGTGTTTCTGTCACACTGTAGTATGCAGTCATTGCTGGACAAATTCATATTTTTTTCAATAAATGTTAGGAACGCTTTACATATTGCTTCCCTGTTTCTGATCATTACTCGTGATAAATACAAAAGCATCAAAGTTAAAAACAAAAGTCCCCCACGTAACCGTTATGTCGTGACGGTGTCTACCCTGTGTGGAAAATGATTGGTTGTTTTACCCAATACACAAGAGGCAAATCCGTAGTGGAGTACGGTTTTGGTTTTCAAGGCAAACTCAACGGCTTCCTTATATCAAGGGGAAAAACCACCACAAATGTCAACCGTGAAAATTGCGCACCCATGCACTCTTACACACACCCAACCCTCAACCGCCCATGCCCTTATATGTGAAATCATTAGTGAAAGATGTACAATGTAAGTTTGTGTAAATCTTAATTATAAAGCAGAGAATACATCTGTTTGTTTGTGTGAAGCAGCGAAAACTCTCGAACGTTGAGCTCTAGCGTCATGAAATTTGAACATCTTATGCTGTCTGGAATTTCTAAGTAAACGCGACTATTTTTCAGCTACGTTATTCCCTTCCCGAGTTATCACGTGATAAATTACTCACAATACCCCCAGTGTTACCACGTGATGCATTACTCACAATACCCCCCGGTGTTACCACGTGACGCATTACTCATATTACTCCCAGGGTGATACCACGTGACGCATTACTCATATTACTCCCAGGCTATTACCACGTCATGCATTACTCACAATACCCTCACGGTGTTACCACGTGACGCATTACTCACAATATCCCCACGGTGTTATCACGTTATACATTACTCACAATACCCCCACAGTGTTACCACGTGACGCATTACTCATAATACTCCCAGGGTGTTACCACGTGATACATTACTCACAATACCCCACAGTGTTACCACGTGACGCATTACTCATAATACTCCCAGGGTATTACCACGTGATGCATTACGCACAATACCCATACAGTGTTATTCAGTGACGCATCTGTCTTTTTAGTGAAGTATAAGGGAATATTAAATTAATCCAAGACAAGAATCCAAGTCCCGGGCAAAGCCGGGTAGCAAAGCTGGTTGAATACATCGCGATGTAAAGACTGGCCTTTACCAATGGAATATAGAATATTCATCACCGCTGCCTGCTGGCTCCTGTACGCGGTGAAAAGGTGCATACCAGGTTTGGGACTGGGTGATTGTTATTGGACAATAAAAATGGATAACGTTTTGTGGGAGTCTTACAATGGCTAGTGGTGATTTGAAGGTATAGTCATGGCTACTTTGGTGGATGTGTTCGTTTTTTTAAGAACATTTTCATCACGTCCTGAGAATGCTTTACGCAATGGAAAGTGTGCCATGTCCCTGAAAACTTTAGGTGAAGCATGTCCCACCGTAGGACGGGGAGGTCATACCCATGAGCGTTCAAGATTTGGTATTGTTAATATTTGCCAGTTGTTTCGCTTTGGCTGTGTGGATTATAATAGTTTGATAAGTTGAAGCAAATCCGCATTGTAACATGATATTATTGTCTGAAGTGGTTGATGATTGAAGATATCTGACCGGGTATTCACTTTGTTCATGCCTCATGTACCAATGGCAGTATATCACATATCTATGTCTACCTCTATGAATCTCAATCTCTTTTTCTAAATATTTTCTCGATTTCCCCCTCTCACTCGCTGTGTCCTAAAATACGATGTTACGTTAGTCAGACAAGGTAAAATGCTTTTACAATAATTAAAAATACAATATTTGAATAAATATTGTATATTTGAATAAATATTGTATAATAAATATTGTTAAACATTTATTTTAGAAACCAAGATACACAGTGTAAATGGATAAAAACAATAATTTTCTCAGACATGCTGATGACAGTTATACGTTGCATAAGCAATACTCTGAAGGAAATGTTAGAACGTGTATGTATGGTGTGTCTTGTAGTGTGTGTCTCGTACGTATAGTGTATTGTAGTTTTCACGCAAGGTGTGCACTTAAAAGCTGATGCTGCAGCGTTTGCTGGTGCCCTGAAATGGTCCAGTCCCCGTCAGAGCTTGCACTGCAGGGCAGTTGATTGTGGTCCTGTTGTAGTTAGACCTGAAAGTGTTGCTTATGTTACCATCCTTTTGGCGTAGCGTGACACGGCCATAGCTCATGCGCAGGTCGTGATGGTGGTTGTTATGCTGTTGGTGAAGATGATATTTAGAAATGTAGTGTTGGACGTGGACGACAGGGTTGTTTTCATCTCTGGGGGCGCGCCAGTGCAGATCAGGTTTGACCTTCGCCACATGCCGCTGTAGCTGATCACCATTCACCAAGCGTTCCTCCTCTGTGTGACGTATCAGCGCCACTGCCCTTTTCTGGATGCACACTGCATGGTTGCAACAGCGCCGAGCAGAGAGTAGGCGGCGAAGCTTGGCCATGTCACGGCGTGGCACTTCGCTCACCCAATACAGGTCTGAGACGTGATTGAAGCCGCCACGCTCCCGTCGCGCCTTGATCAGCCTTACTGCTGCACTGGGAGATATTCCACTGTAGTGGGACAGCGCCCGCCCCGTGCAGCGGTTCATGTCCAAACAAGATTCCTTAATCGCTAGAGCCATGGTGAGTGTGTAAGTGAGCTGTTCAGCGTGGGTGGATGTGTTAGTTAGTTTGAGAAATGAGAATACGAGTGGATAGTGTCGTCGCTATTTATAACTCATCAGTGACGTCACTATTTCCGGTTGTAACACCGAAATGGGGACGTCATATCCTGAGGTGCTGGTGGGGCGTGGCCAAAGGATTTGGCATGACTACAATAGATCACGTGAGTTGCCACATTGTGACGTCATGGCATGAGGGATTGGTGGGCGTTACGACAGGAGGGATAATAACTACGGAAGTGGAAGTAGATACTTGAATGGTTATAGTTTTTCAGACCTCACTGTATGATTGATGACGGCTGCTTATGCGGATGAGTGATTGAAAATATCGCGATGTAAATACTGGCCTTTTCCCAATGGAAAGTAGAATATTCATCACCACTGTCTGCTGGCTAGAGCACGCGGTGAGAAGGTGCATAACAGGTTTGGGACTGGGTGATTGTTATTGGACAAAAAAATGGATAACGTTTTGGGGATTCTGACCATGGCTGGAGGTGATTTGAAGGTATAGTCATGGCTAGTATTGGAGGAAGTGAGGATTGTGTTCGTCTATTTAAGAACATTTTCAGCACGTCCTGAGAATGCACTCTCACACTCACCCACCCACTCTCACACTCGTACACACTCTCACACTCACCCATCCACTCACTCTCACACTCGTACACACACTCACCCACTCTCACCCTCACCCACTATCACACTCACCCATCCACTCACTCTCACACTCGTACACACTCTCAAACTCACCCACCCACTCTCACACTCGTACACACACTCACACTCACCCACTCTCACCCACTCTCACACTCACCCATCCACTCACTCTCACACTCGTACACACTCTCACACTCGTACACACTCTCACACTCGCTCACCCACTCTCACCCATCCACTCACTCTGACACTCGTAACCACCTCCCGCATACCGGACGAGGTAGTCAACATCTCCCTAGCCACCGCGGCGCTCTTTCACCCCACGCAGGCCTCTAACCCCACTCCCAACCGCCTACCCCCCCTACCCTTATCGCCCCCCCTCCACCCCCGTCGCGAGCGGAGGCAGCGGTGAGTCAACCGTGAGAGGTGGCGGGGGGCACGGGGGAAAGGGAGGGGGGGCTCCGGGGGAGGAGGAGAGAGGGGGGGGAGGGGCGGCGGCGAGGACCGCCGCCCGGAGGCGTGCGAGAGCGGGGGGCCCCCGTCGCAGAGCCCCCCTGAGGGCCGCGAAGAATCCGTGGTAGCGCGTCACGTTGTGGATGGAGAGCAGCACCCCGGCCAGCAGCTCCCTGGTGGCCAGCAGGTGGTGCAGGTAGGCGCGCGAGTGGTGGGCGCACGTGTAGCAGGGGCAGCCGGGCAGCAGTGGGCTCAGGTCGCCACGGAACCTGAACCGAGGGTGGGGGGGGGGGGTTACGGCAGAGACACGGCAGTCGCGATTGGCGATCGCGATCGGCCATTGAGATCGACGATTGCGATTGACGATTGAGATCGCTATTGACGGAGGACCCGGAGAAAAATCCAAGCGAACATTACAAGGAAAGAGTGACAGAGAGATGACACGCCCCGAGCGATCTTCAAGGCCACGGGCCCCGCAGGATTTTGTTAATCTGCTGTTCAACTGAAGCAGCACAAGTTTCGAGAGAATCCCTTCAAAAATGTAACCGGTTTCTCTAAAAGGAACAACACTTCACCCTCAAGTTTTGTCCTCATCGGACTGCGCACGTGCGCGCATGAGCGTCACCGTGACACCACGCGACAGACAGCTGCCGCTCGTTGCAGAGATGTTCGTGGCTTGAACCCGGCAGGCCACCCCTGGTTAATACTTCAGTTGCATATTGCGCCGTCCACTCCGCGCCCACGGCAGGCGTCTAAAGACCCTGTCGCGTTGTTCACAAAGGCCGGCGGGAAGCCATCGTGTGCCGGTGTCGCTAATCCAGTCGCCCAAATTGTATTTATATATTTTCATTACCACAAATTACTGAATTGGAATTTCACACACACAGCAACCACATCGCCCCCCGCCCCCCCCCCCACCGCGCTACTCGTAGCAGACTAACATCCTGCCCCGCTCGCAGTGCCCAAGTCACCTTGCGCCACACAGGGACAGCTGCCACTGGGCGTGCCTGAGCCCAGACCACAGAGCGATCATCATCCCCCATCACCCTCCTACTCGTGGACTGATGCCAAACTGCAGGCTCAGTTGCCCCAGTCACCTTTTGACAGCTGCCACTGAGGTTTTTACCCTTCACATTTTGAATCAACGTCACGCATTTGTTGTATTTGGCTGCTATACATTTCCATGTTATATTCGTTGAGCTATCGTTTGTAGCCAGGTCTCTTCTGAAAAAGTTATACAGCTCAGAGGACTTCACCTGGTCAGATAAAAAATAAAATAGTTTAGTTTTATTTGTAGATTTATTTTTTTAAAGTAATTTCCTATGCACTCCTATCGTGTTTGTGTGTCGTGTTTGGTGTTTGAGCGATCTCACTTCCGTGCTCCTAATGGAACATTTGTGAAAAAAAGAGCTTTGTGGCTCATCAGATTCCTCCTCCTGCAGTCTAAGTAACGACTCTGATTTTAGAAAAAGGAAGTTGCTGTAATTGCCTCTCTTCACGCAGGTTCATCTCGAATCGCGTGGGGATGCGGACATCGTCCTCCTCCTCTTCATCCTCCTCCTCATCCTCCTCCTGCTCCTCCTGCGTCACCTCGGGGATCGCGCTCCCCCCGGCGTCGTCGCCCTCGTCGCCCGCAACGTCCCCAAGCGCTGCCCCTGCGCACGGGAAAAGCCGACAACGGTTCACCACGACAGCTCCGGCCGTCGTCCTCGCAGCAGCAGCACCAACGGCAGCAGCAGCGGCGGCAGCTTTTGGACCGGCCGTCGAACAAAGACGCAGTCGCGCTTTCAGATGCGCTTCTACGACCGTCTGGAACACTCTTTCGTGATGGCGAGTGCCATGTCGGTGAGTGCCGTGACGGTGTGACGGTGTGATGGTGAGTGCCGTGACGGTGTGACGGTGAGTGCCGTGACGGTGTGACGGTGTGATGGTGAGTGCCGTGACGGTGTGACGGTGTGATGGTGAGTGCCGTGACGGTGTGACGGTGTGACGGTGAGTGCCGTGACGGTGTGACGGTGTGATGGTGAGTGCCGTGACGGTGTGACGGTGTGATGGTGAGTGCCGTGACGGTGTGACGGTGTGATGGTGAGTGCCGTGACGGTGTGACGGTGTGATGGTGAGTGCCGTGAGGGTGTGACGGTGTGACGGTGAGTGCCGTGACGGTGTGACGGTGTGATGGTGAGTGCCGTGACGGTGTGACGGTGTGACGGTGAGTGCCGTGACGGTGTGACGGTGTGATGGTGAGTGCCGTGACAGTGTGACGGTGTGATGGTGAGTGCCGTGACGGTGTGACGGTGTGATGGTGAGTGCCGTGACGGTGTGACGGTGTGATGGTGAGTGCCGTGAGGGGGTGGCGCTCCTCACCCGTCTCCCAGTCGTAGGAGAAGTGGAGAGCGCCACCGCGCTCCGTCACCAGGAAGGGGAAGTGGCCCTCAAAGAGGTCCACGCCGAGTGCGGCACAACGGAGCACTCGGTCCGGACGTCCCACGCCACACACCATGCTGCTCACCACACACCGTCACCACACACACCATCACCACACACACCGTCACCACACACACCATGCTGCTCACCACACACCGTCACCACACACACCGTCACCACACACACCACCACCACTCACACCATCACCACACACACCATCACCACGACACCATCACCACACATTGTCCTGGGCCTCTCCTAGGTCGACTCAGTCCTAAATGAGTGCATGGTGTGATGTGTAAAAACATTGCCACGAGAAAGGCCAAGGTGGCCTGGCGTGGTGCTTGTATTTGCATGCGTGCATCACCGTGGTCTGTCCGTGTGCAACTTGCGTGTGTGCATGTGTGCGTGTGTGTGTGCGTGTGTGTGTGTGCGTGCGTGTGTGCGTGTGTGGTGACGGTGGTGCAGTGGATAGCGCTGTAGTGACATAGAACGGTCACTACTGTGTCGGCCCGTACGAGGGCTGGGGGCCCCAAGGGGGTGCCTGGGGGGTCACGTGCTGGAGGGATCCGGACCTTCCCAGAGGTGGGTGAAGTGAGGCGTGTCCTGGGAAGGGAGGCGTGGCCTGGAGAGAGCCAGCCACGCCTGGGCGGAGCCGACCACGCCAAAGCAGATATAAGCGTGGTGTGAACGCAGAGCGAGGCTGTTGTACTGTACTCCGAAGAGTGAAGACACCATCGGTCGTCAAGTCCCGGGTCGTCGTCCTGGGCCAGGCAGGCCGTTGCCTGCCTGGTCCAGTCTGTGTCGCGTTCCAGAGTGTTAGTGAGTTGAGGAAGGTGGTCACCACCTCATGTACAGCGTTATGTTACTTACCGTTTAATAAATAGTGTTGCCTCCAAGCTGTGTATGTGTGCACCTAATTTGAACCCACTACATTTGGCGTCAGAAGTTGTGGAAAAATAAATATTGCTAGGTGTTATCCTAGGGAAGTAAAATGGGCACACAAAAAACAAATACAAAACTCATCTGGACGTCTTCGTACGACGGGGATGGTGTGACGACCGTCCTTCGGACAGCCCCGGGGATGGCAGCCCCGGTGACAGAGAGAGATGGCGCTGCACGCGGAGCGGTGGGACTTGCATCGCACTGCTGCTTCGCCGCCATCGGGAACGGAGCGACGGAGCCGCGGCGAGAGGACACCATCGTCGCTGCGGGGGCTGGCGGAGGAGGCACGGGCATGCGGGCCACGCGGTGGGCCCGCCATTTTGGCGGCTGGTCGGGGCGCTGTTCCCGCCAAAACGCCGTTCCCGCCATTTCGGCGGCTGGTCGGGGCGCTGTTCCCGCCAAAACGCCGTTCCCGCCATTTCGGCGGCTGGTCGGGGCGCTGTTCCCGCCAAAACGCCGTTCCCGCCATTTCGGAGGCGGGTCGGTGCGCTGTTCCCGCCAAAACGCCGCTCCTGCTGCCGAAATGCCGCTCCCGCCGACATCGACGCCTGCAGAGGGTTCGCAAGAGCAGGCCGTGTTCACCATGAAAGATTCTTCGGGCCGTCCCAGTGCTCCACCTTGCCGCCCTCCGCTATGCACAGTTTGCCAGGCGAGTCATGACATGACAAGCACCCGGCCCCAAGAAAAATAATAATAATCTTCACCCATCTTGCGTGTGCCGGGTTGCGATCGCGTGTGTTTTTTTTTTTACTCGCTGGTTTGCGGAGCGTGTTCGTCCGGTTGTGTGCGTGAGAAATTGACGCGGCGACCATGCGGGTTTCTGCTTGTAACAGTGTTTGTTGTTAATTACGGCGTCAAGATCGGTATCTTCTGGGTGTAGTTAATGATTAATTCGTTGTTGGTGTCCCGAGCTCCGTTGATATCCTCTATGTTGCCGTGTTAATGACTCGTGTTGTTACATCGTTGTGTTGCGAAATCGCCATTGTTATTGTGTATACTGTATGGAGTTCGCTCGTGATTGTCACTTGTAACTGTCAGAAACTTTGATCGTCATTGTTGCCAATGTACAGACCGTATGGAGCTTTGCTTGGTATTTTTAACAGTGTATGGAATGTTGGGTACTTGCTTGTGATTATTTACTATCTACGGATTGTCTGGAGTATTGATTGTGTGTGTTGCCATGTGGGGACTGGATGGAGCATTGCGCCAAATGATTGACTGTACGAACTTCGTATACTGCATATACTGTATTAATCAATTCGGCGATTCTTGGGGTTTGTGTCTAGTTTTTTTGCTCTCAAAATTCGAATGCCCTGAGTCCCATGGTTAATGTTGAAGGGGATTTTGAAATGACAGGTTCGGTTCGTTTCAAACTCACTGGTTGGCTCCTGTCCGTTGTTGCACAGATGATGTCTTTTGTGCGGGAATGCTCCTTGTGTTCTACATGGATCGGGGGTGCGTTTCCGTTAATTGCCGTCAAATTGCGTTGCTCTCTCCACTTGGTTGGTACAGCTCAATGCTGCAATGCGAGTCTCGGAGATGATGTGTACGGATACGGGATGTGAGGTGTATTGTTGTGACCATTGAATATTCGGGATCGTCACAAATTGTGCGTACCTGTTCGGCATTGGATCAGTTCTGTGGGGGATCATAATTCAAATTGTATGTGTTGTGATGGTGTTAAATTGCGATGGTGACATGCTGCCAGGGATTTGGAAGTGTGGTGCTGGCTGTCACTTATCTTGGGGCGCAGATCCTGGCCAGGATGGCCCAGTGAGTGTTGCGTGTCTAACATGAACGTTGTGGTCCCGTCATGCTATGGCTGACGGCTTGACCTGACAGCCCGGAGATTGAAACACTCCGTGGTATGTCTAGCCTAGTGGACTGTGCGCTCACAGGGCTCGGAGAGTGTGGTCCCGTCATGCAATGGCTGACGGCTTGACCTGACAGCCCGGAGATTGAAACACTCCGTGGCATGTCTAGCCTAGTGGGCTGTGTGCTCACATGGCTCGGAGAGTGTGGTCCCGTCATGCAATGGCTGACGGCTTGACCTGACAGCCCGAGGGAGATTGAAACACTCCGTGGCATGTCTAGCCTAGTGGGCTGTGTGCTCACATGGCTCGGAGAGTGTGGTCCCGTCATGCAATGGCTGACGACTTGACCTGACAGCCCGGAGATTGAAACACTCCGTGGCATGTCTAGCCTAGTGGGCTGTGTGCTCACATGGCTCGGAGAGTGTGGTCCCGTCATGCAATGGCTGACGACTTGACCTGACAGCCCGGAGATTGAAACACTCCGTGGCATGTCTAGCCTAGTGGGCTGTGTGCTCACATGGCTCGGAGAGTGTGGTCCCGTCATGCAATGGCTGACGGCTTGACCTAACAGCCCGGAGATCGAGACACTCCGTGGCTTGTCTAGCCTTGTGGGCTGTGCGCTCACATGGCTCAGGGAGTGTGGTCCCGTCATGCTGTGTCTGACGGCTTGACCTGACAGCCCGGAGATCAAGACACTCTGTGGCTTGTCTAGCCTTGTGGGCTGTGCGCTCACATGGCTCAGGGAGTGTGGTCCCGTCATGCTATGGCTGACAGCTTGACCTGATGGCTCGGAGGTTGAGACCCTCCGAGGCGCGTTGAAACAGTGGGCTGGAGATTCGTAAGGTTCAGGTGGAGTTGTCCTGTTACGTTGAGACTGTATCCCTCAGTTGTTAGGGTGCATGTTGTGCAGTGAGTGAACGATGGGTCGTCTCAGCTCGGTCGGTACAGCTATATGCTGCGATGCGAGTCTTGGAGAGAGACTGGGTCGTCTCAGCTCGGTCGGTACAGCTATATGCTGCGATGCGAGTCTTGGAGAGAGACTGGGTCGTCTCAGCTCGGTCGGTACAGCTATATGCTGCGATGCGAGTCTTGGAGAGAGACTGGGTTAAAATCCCGATAGGGCCGACGCGTGCTGCTGGTTGTGACGCTGCGTCGGAAAGGCGGTGGGGTGGTAACATGGAAATTCTCCCCCCGATATGGCCGACGCGTGCTACTGGTTGTGACGCCACGTCGGAAAGGCGGGGGGGTGCTAACGGGTGACTGTCATTGCATGCGTGATTCTAACGGGGGGGGGGGGGGGCTGTGCTGGAACGTAAGTGGGTTAGCCAGTTTTCATGTATATTTGTTGTTAATTCCCCGTTTTCTATGCGGTTCCCTTTTACCCTCGTCGATTCTGTATATATTACGTGATTGTATTTCTTATCGGTCGCCGGTCATTTATTGATGTTGCTGGTTCGGAGGCACACCTTTTCGATGTTTCACAGTTGTGTTACAGCCGGGGACGGCTGTGTGTTTATACAGGGGGGGGTGATGTAGTGACATAGAACGGTCACTACTGTGTCGGCCCGTACGAGGGCTGGGGGCCCCAAGGGGGTGCCTGGGGGGTCACGTGCTGGAGGGATCCGGACCTTCCCAGAGGTGGGTGAAGTGAGGCGTGTCCTGGGAAGGGAGGCGTGGCCTGGAGAGAGCCAGCCACGCCTGGGCGGAGCCGACCACGCCAAAGCAGATATAAGCGTGGTGTGAACGCAGAGCGAGGCTGTTGTACTGTACTCCGAAGAGTGAAGACACCATCGGTCGTCAAGTCCCGGGTCGTCGTCCTGGGCCAGGCAGGCCGTTGCCTGCCTGGTCCAGTCTGTGTCGCGTTCCAGAGTGTTAGTGAGTTGAGGAAGGTGGTCACCACCTCATGTACAGCGTTATGTTACTTACCGTTTAATAAATAGTGTTGCCTCCAAGCTGTGTGTGTGTGCACCTAATTTGAACCCACTACAGCGCACGCCACGACGAACCAGGCGACCCGAGTCCAATTCCCGCTCATGGCCAACACCAGTGACGATTATTTGAACTGGTTCCTGAGTCTCCCCTAGGTCGACTCAGCCTCAAATGAGTACCTGGTGTAGTGTGCAAAGATCGGCACTGGAGAGACAAAGGCGGAGGGTGTGGAGCTGGCCACCCACCACCTCGTGTGCCGTGCCGGCCTTCATTGGCGCTACTCGCTAACAGCACTTGCCCCAACAGTCTGTTAAGGCTACACATAGGATTTGAAGCTTTCGTTACTACAGGAATCCATACTCTTTGGTTCTTTCGGTAAAGTCACGTAGGTATAAAATAAAATAAATCACGACGTTTCGGACGCAACACAAGCGTCCGCCAGCTTTCCCACCTGATGACGGGCGCTTGTGTTGCGCCCGAAACGTCGTGATTTATTTTATTTTATACCTACGTGACTTTACCGAAAGAACCAAAGAGTACACATAGGATCTTTGTCTTTGTGTGCGTGCATACGCGCGTGTGTCTGTGCGTGTGTGCGTGCGTCACCGCGGCTTGTCTGGCGGCAGTTCGGCGATGACGGCACGCAGGATGCGGCTCCGCGTGGCGGTGCCGGGCCGACCTTCCCCGCACTGCCGCTGGCTGAGTCCCGACACCAGGAAGCCATCGACGGCGCGGGCGGCGGTGAAGCGCGCCGAACGCACGCGCTCAGCCAGCAGCGCACCGCCCTGCACCGTGCCCAGCACGCCCACGCTGCTCAGCTCCTGCACCGCACGCACCGCAAAGATCACGATCACACACCGCACCACACACACACACAGCATCACACACACACAGCATCACCAGACACACACAGCACCACACACAGCACCAGACACACACAGCACCACACACACACAGCACCACACACACACAGCCCCGCACGCACAGCACCGCACGCACTGCACCGCACGCACTGCACGGATAATGATCACGCACACATCACGCACAGCACTAATAAAAGATATTCGCTACTAACTGGCGGTGACATCACCACGGCGCTTGTGCCAGGCTATGTGCACGTTGAGTCAACGTGAAGTGTTGAACGCCCGTTGGCAGGAGGTCACGGGGCAGACCCAGGTGCCATGGGTCGACTGACTGAGATGACTGAGATGACTGGCTGATGCTCTATGGTGCAGAGTCTTGATGAGGGAATTCTTCTGGGATGGATGGTGGTGGAAATCTGGTTTCAGGTAAGCATCCGTGACCTTACCCTACATCACCTTACCATACATTGCGGGAATCACAAAAAAGATCTCCAAAATCTTGAATAAACACAAGTTCCAGGTCCGATTCAACACAGTACATAAAATCCGTGATCTGGTTCCGTCTGTAAAAGATGTGATTCCGGACATACAGTACCCTGGCGTCTACAAACTAAGTTGCCTCTGTGGTAGCAGTTACATTGGAGAAACCAAACGACATGTCTCGGACCGCATCCGTGAGCACAAAAAAAAAACACGGTAGGACCAACACCTCGGCTGTGGCAGATCACATATAATTCAGTGGGCTCACATGACATTGACTTCTCCAAGACAGAGGTTCTCTGCAAGCCATCTGGCTACCATGAGAGATTCGTTCAAGAGGCTATCCACATATACAAACACAGAGACAATTTCAACTGAGAAGATGAATTCTGGCTTAGCAATCATTGGAAGGATTTGATAAACCATTTCAGGTCTTAATTGATTGTGTTCACGCTTATGGTGACTTTCAGACCGCATTCCATTCTCTTCCTCTCCCCCCTCCTCTTTTCCGAACATAGATGGATTCGTCCATCTGAACAACTGCCAAAATCGCTGTCCGTGGTGCTGACGTTAAGAAAAAAACGACACTTTTTAAAAATGTGTTGCTGTGTTTTTTCACACCTGATGACGATTGCTTGTGTTGCAGTCGAAACGTCGTGAGAATTTTATCGTTTTATATTTTTATTATTCCCTTCTACGTGACATTACCGAAAGAACCAAGCATATGAATCCCTGCAGTCACGAAAGCTTTAAATAAAAAATCAACTGCGCAGTTAATGAGTGGTGATCACTCACCGGGTGAGTGGATTGTGTGGTGTGCAGCGAGCGGTATAGTGAGTGGTGTAGTGAGTGGTGTAGTGAGTGGTGTAGTGAGTGGTGTAGTGAATGGATTGTGTGGTGTGTAGTGAGTGGTGTAGTGAGTGGTGTAGTGAATGGATTGTGTGGTGTGTAGTGAGTGGTGTAGTGAGTGGTGTAGTGAGTGGATTGTGTGGTGTGTCGTGAGCAGTGTAGTGAGTGGTTTGGTGAGTGGTATAGTGAGTAGAGTAGTGAGCAGCGAACGCTCACCGGGTGAGTGTGGTGAGCGAGCAGGCACGCGTCCAGGAAGGCGAGCGTTCGATCCACGCCGCGCCGCTCACGCTTACTCGACGCCGTGGGGCCTTCGTCATCAGCTGCCGGGGCCTGCGTCACAACCACCACCACGTATCAAAACCACCACAACCACTACCACACGTCACAACAACTACAACCACCACCACACGTCACAACCACCACCACGACCACCACACGTCACAACCACCACAACCATGCCTCATTACCACCACGCATCACAATCACCACCACGACCACCACGCGTCACAACCACCACAACCACCACAACCACCACAACCATGCCTCACTGCCACCACACGTCACAACCACCACGGGTCACAACCACCACGCTTCACAACCACCAACATCACGCGTCACAACCACCACCACGTATCAAAACCACCACAACCACCACCACACGTCACAACCACCACCACGACCACCGCACGTCACAACCACCACAACCACCACAACCACCACAACCATGCCTCACTACCACACGTCACAACAACTACAACCACCACCACGCGTCACAATCACCACTATGCGTCACAAGCACCTAGACTGGCACAAACGCCGTGGTGATGTCACCGACAGTTAATGGCGAATGGGGGCTCTTGTGTGTGTGTGTGTGTGCGCGTAGTGTCGTGGTTGCTGCACTGTGCTACGAACCGGTTGCTGCACTGGGCTATAAAGTATCCTGGGCCTCCCCTAGGTCAACTCAGCCTCAAACGAGTACCTGGTGCGGTGTGTAAACATCGCCACTGGGGAGACAAAGGCGGCCAAGCGTGGTGCTGGCCACCCACCCCCTCCTCCCCCGTTGTGTACCGTGCCGGCCTTCGTAGGCACTGCTACTAACTAAAACAATGTGGGGGGGTTGTGGGGGGGGGGGTAGCAGGGGGGTTGTGGGGGTGGGGTAGCAGGGGGGGTGTGGGGGGGGAGCAGGAAGGGAGCGGGGGGGGGCAAGGAGGCTTCGTCTTGATCGTGCGTCGCACCTGGTAGCACGCGGGCCGCACCGCTCGCTGCAGCTCCACGTAGCGCGATGGGGAGAGCTCCATGCGGCCCCCGCTGCCCCAGACGGACACGGTCTGGCACGGACATGGGGGAGGTGACGCACGCAGCTCAGCTACCGGTCGCGCAGTCCCCACGAGTCATCGGTGACGAGAGGCCCAGCGGGACGCAACCGTCTCTCGCAGGAGGCGGTCCTGCGAGTTTTTTGTTTCAGTGCCTTTACGTGACTTTACCTAAAGAACCAAAGAGTATGGATCCCTGCAGTCACGAAAACTTCAAATCTAGATTGATCCCAATTGAGACGTTTGCGGCTATGTTTTTCGGCACTTGGGACGTTTAGCCAATATCAGTTACACCGTGTGTGTATTGGGTCTATCTCTGGAAGGAAACCCCATGCAGAGCAGGGGGGGGGATATAGAAACTCCACTCGCTCACTCTGCAGAACAGGGGGAGATCATACAAACTCCACTCACATACTCTGCAGAACAGGGGGAGATCATACAAACTCCACTCACATACTCTGCAGAACAGGGGGAGATCATACAAACTCCACTCACATACTCTGCAGAACAGGGGGAGATCATACAAACTCCACTCACTCACTCTGCAGAACAGGGGGAGATCATACAAACTCCACTCACTCACTCTGCAGAACAGGGGGAGATCATACAAACTCCACTCACTCACTCTGCAGAACAGGGGGAGATCATACAAACTCCACTCACATACTCTGCAGAACAGGGGGAGATCATACAAACTCCACTCACTCACTCTGCAGAACAGGGGGAGATCATACAAACTCCACTCACTCACTCTGCAGAACAGGGGGAGATCATACAAACTCCACTCACTCACTCTGCAGAACAGGGGGAGATCATACAAACTCCACTCACATACTCTGCAGAACAGGGGGAGATCATACAAACTCCACTCACTCACTCTGCAGAACAGGGGGAGATCATACAAACTCCACTCACATACTCTGCAGAACAGGGGGAGAACATACAAACTCCACTCACTCACTCTGTAGAACAGGGGGAGATCATACAAACTCCACTCACTCACTCTGCAGAACAGGGGGAGATCATACAAACTCCACTCACATACTCTGCAGAACAGGGGGAGAACATACAAACTCCACTCACTCACTCTGTAGAACAGGGGGAGATCATACAAACTCCACTCACTCACTCTGCAGAACAGGTGGAGATCATACAAACTCCACTCACTCACTCTGCAGAACAGGGGGAGATCATACAAACTCCACCCACTCACTCTGTAGAACAGGGGGAGATCATACAAACTCCACTCACTCACTCTGCAGAACAGGGGGAGATCATACAAACTCCACCCACTCACTCTGTAGAACAGGGGGAGATCATACAAACTCCACTCACTCACTCTGCAGAACAGGGGGACATCATACAAACTCCACTCGCTCACTCTGCAGAACAGGGGGAGATCATACAAACTTCACTCACTCACTGCAGAACAGGGGGACATCATAAAAACTACACGCAGAAAGGCATCCGAGTCACAAATAGAATCTCCAGGCCCCTGGTTGCTACGAAGCGGGCGTACCACCACTGCAGCGCCACAAGCCTGCCGCCCTATGGGAAGCATTAGAGAATCCATGCACACGTCTGATTTTTCTTCCTGGTCTACTGCGTGAGGGTGGGGGGGTTGTTGGGAGGGGGGTGTTGGGTGGGTGGTGGTACCTTGCTGGTGGTGAACCCCTGTGGAGTGGGGGTTGCCGGGTCGTACTGCGTGCACAGCAGCAGCATGTCCGGCAGACCTGCGCCGAACAGCGGAGGAGAATGCACACACACAAAGACAGAGGTCACCCCGCGTAGCCCTTTAACAGAGTGACATGTCTCGGACCGTGTTCGTCGTGAACACAAGGCAGATCTGAAACACGGTAGGACCAATACCTCGGCCGTCGCTGATCATTGTTTTAATGCTGTGGGCTCACACGAAATAGATTTCTCCAAGGCGAAGGTACTCTGCAAACCCACTGGCTATCAGCAAAGATTCGTTCATGAAGCCATCCAGATATATAAACACAGACACAATTTCAACCGAGAAGATGGATACAAACTGAGCAATCATTGGAAGGACGTTATTAACCAGGTAAAGTCTTAACTAACTGTGATGTTACCATCCTACCTGCCAATGTTAGTAGTTATTTTCGACTCTCTGGTGTTACATTAACAGGTTCAATGTCTTTACATTAACAGGATAAATGTCTCACTAACACAGCCACCGTTGCTCGTATTCCTCGATGTGGCGGTGGCTCTACGATCTTACATTGACATGCTAATCTCTCACAATGCAATGGCCACCTCCCCGCAGCTTCGTCGTCGTGGATGTGGCTCTCCGATTTACCCGATCTTACATTGACATGCAAATTTCACAACTAGCCCCACCCACTTCGCTTATGACCCTTGGGCTACACCCATCTCAAAGCTTTATAACATCCTGCCTCAGCAGCTCTCCCGCTATTTTTTCACCTGATGACGATTGCGATCGAAACGTCGTGATATTTTTATCATTTTTTCTATCTACGTGGCTTTACCGAAATAATATTTTAACAGAGTGTTGGGGCAAGCGCTGCAAGAGGGTGGGTGGCCAGCACCACGCCCCGTCCGCCTTTGTCTCCCCAGTGGCGATGTTTACACACAGCACCAGGTAGTCATTTGAGGGTGAGCCGACCTAAGGAAGGCCCAGGACCGATTCAGATATAAATGTCACTGGTGTTGGCCGTGGGCGAGTGATAGTTTAAAATAAGCACAAAGACTTACGGATAAGTGCAAAACCCATTGAAAATGATGAAACGGCAAAGCCAAGGACTGCCCACCCCTCACGGTGACTGGAGCCAGAACCAGTGCCCCGGACCTCCTGTGTTCCACGGGGGTCTAGACGGTACTGGTCCAGCTCCCGACAGATGCATGGCAGCCTCTGCTCAACAGTTTGCGTTCGGCTATCCCTCGTAGGCCAACCGCAGTTATTTTCTTCTGGTGTTTCTGAAGGAACTAAACTATTGTTTTTACTTTACCACGGTAAGGCACACTGAGCTATATAGCTTTTTTTCAAAACCGACCTGGCCACAAATGATAGCTCAACGAAGTGGCTTATCGTCATTGAAATTTATAGCAGCAGCCAAATACTCTGAACGCACATTGATTTTGATTCTAAACGTGGAGCAGCGCAAACTCGAAATATACAGCAGGCGTCAGGTTCTGGATAGAGACCACGAACGCCTGTATACCAGGCGAGGTAGTTAACATCTCGCCACCATGGCACCCAACGTGGAACATGAGGGGACGGGGAGTAGTCTCCTGGCCCTGGCAAACTGGGTTCGGCATGCACACGCAATGAGTGAATCAGTGAGTGAATTGGAGTGATTGAATCCGCGAGGGTTACGCTACTTATCCCGTGTTCGCTTCTCACCGATGAACTTTGCGAACCCCTCCCCGTATTCCTCCAGCACCTCCTGCTGCTCCGCCCTGCAGCAGGAGCAGTGGCAACAGCAGCAACAGCAGCAACAGCAGCAACAGCAGCAGGGCAACAGTGATGGGAGCTAGAATCATGAGATAGAACCAGCAACTGGAATCTGGTCTTGATCACTCAGAGGAGACCTGTGCTGTCACTCACAGTGAGGCGAGGGGGACCTGGGCCACGATCGGTGCCGGCTCCACCAGCTCCAGGTTGTCGTGCGTCAGGTTGGGCGCCGTGCCGCCGCGTGTGTACAGGAGGCACGCGGGGAGCTCCAAGCACTTCTCTCCCCAGAAGAGCTCGCCCACGCGGCAACCCGCCACCACGCTCGACAACTTCATCCGCATCGCCATCGCCACTGACGCCACCCTGGACACACCGCCACAAGGCAAAACGGGAGACAAAGGGGGGGGGGGGGTGGATCAGAGTAGCGCTTTCAGATTGCGCTTCTGCGGCCGTCTGGAACACCGCTGTACTCAATTGACAAACTCATTTATTTAGAACACATTTTTGTGTTTAGTTTGTTGTCCTTCCATCCTGCACCTCCGATTGGCACGACTGGCTACGTACGATGCGAAAGAAGTTCAACACGCATACATACGAGTCTCTGGTTTTCTGTGGGTCTCTGTGAGTTTCTTGCTTCCAATATCAGCAAGCCACTGGAGATAAGCACTTTTAAACCATCTAGATTGAAACCTCATTTCTTTAGAACTGCTTTGTGCGTGTTAGTTTGTGGTCCTTCCGCCCGCACCTGCGATTAGCGCGGTTGGCTACGTATGGTGCGAAAGAAGTTCAACATACATACATCATCACTCCCTGCTGGGGACAATAAAATAAGTACCACTTTTTGTGGAAGTCTAACAGCCCCACACAAATACACATCGATTTCCCCCCTTCCCCATATATCCACTAACTGTTGGAGGCCAGTGCCGTTAGCGAGTTGCACTGTGTAAAAACCGACACGGCACACATACACTACGCCCAGGGCCGCCTTTGTCTCCTCCAATGCTGATGTTTAATACAAACTGCAGCAGGTACTCACTTAAGGCTGAGTCGATCTAAGAGGAAGTCTGTCGAGGAATAGTTCAGATATTTGCTGTCGCTATTATTGGTCGTGAGCGGCAATGGAAATCTGTTTGCCAGGTTCGTAGGGCAGTGCAGCGCGAACCACTGCACCACCGCAGATAGACAGACACACACACACAAACATATAGAGACCCAGACACGCAGAGACCCAGACACGCAGACACAGAGTCCCAGACACACAGAGACCCAGACACACAGACACACAGAGACACAGACACACAGACACAGAGACCCAGACACACAGACACAGAGACCCAGACACACAGAGACCCAGACACCCAGACACAGAGACCCAGACACACAGAGACACAGACACACAGAGACACAAACACACAGACACACAAAGAATCACACACAGAGACCCACACGCAGAGACCCACACAGACACAGAGACCCAGACACACAGAGACACAGAGACCCAGACACACAGAAACACAGACACACAGACACACAGAGACACACAGAGACCCAAACACACAGAGACCCAGACACACAGAGACCCAGACACACAGAGATACACACAGAGACCCTGACACACAGAGACACAGACACACAGAGACCCAGACACACATAGACCCAGGCACACAGAGACCCAGACACACAGAGACACAGAGACCCACACAGAGACCCAGACACACAGAGACACAGACACACAAAGACCCAGACACACAGAGACACAGAGACCCACACAGAGACCCAGACACACAGAGACCTAGACACACAGAAACACAGACACACAGAGACCCAGGCACACAGAGACCCAGACACACAGAGACCCAGACACACAGAGACCCAGACACACAGAGACCCAGACACACAGAGACCCAGACACACAGAGACACAGAGACACACAGAGACACAGACACACAGAGACACAGACACACAGATACCCAGACACACAGAGACACAGACACAGAGAGACCCACACAGAGACCCAGACACACAGAGACACACAGAGACCCAGGCACACAGAGACACAGACACACAGAGACCCAGGCACACAGAGACCCAGACACACAGAGACCCAGACACACAGAGACCCAAACAGACAGAGACCCAGACACACAGAGACCTAGACACACAGAGACCCAGATACAGAGACACACAGAGACCCAGACACACAGAGACCCAGACACACAGAGACACAGACACACAGAGACACAGACACACAGACACAGAGAGACCCAGAGACACAGACACACAGAGACCCAGGCACACAGAGACAGACACACAGACACACAGAGACACACAGAGACACACAGAGACACAGAGACCCACACAGAAACCCAAACACACGGAGACACAGACACAGAGACCCACACAGAGACCCAGACACACAGAGACCCAGACACAGAGACACACAGAGACCCAGACACACAGAGACACACAGAGACACAGACACAAAGAGACACAGACACACAGAGACCCAGACACACAGAGACCCAGACACAGAGACACACAGAGACCCAGACACACAGAGACACACAGAGACACAGACACAAAGAGACACAGACACACAGAGACCCAGACACACAGAGACCCAGACACAGAGACACACAGAGACCCAAATACACAGAGACACACAGAGACCCAAATACACAGAGACACAGACACACAGAGACCAAGACACACAGAGACCCAGACACACAGAGACACAGACACACAGAGACCCAGAGACACAGAGACCCAGACACACAGAGACACACAGAGACACAGACACACAGAGACCCAGACACACAGAGACACAGACACACAGAGACACACAGAGACACAGAGACCCAGACACACAGAGACCCAGACACACAGAGACACACAGAGACACAGACACACAGAGACCCAGACACACAGAGACACAGACACACAGAGACACAGACACACAGAGACACAGACACACAGAGACCCAGAGACACAGAGACCCAGACACACAGAGACACACAGAGACACAGACACACAGAGACCCAGACACACAACCACACAGTGCGATGGTGGTGCGATAGAGGCGCAGTCCCTGCAGGTGCGTGCTCGCGCCACTGCTGTTGGATTCTCTTCAGAGGACCCTCCTTCGATTAGAGTGGCCTTAGGCCTACTCTTCCACGCTGAGCCAAGACGTCTTGGCAGAGGCGGGGTGTACCCTAACTTCACCCCCCACAACCCCATTCGCAGGAGGGATTGGGAGCCTTTAGCCCCCCCCCCCCATTGTTTCAGTTGCCGCGCCTGGAGATACAACTCGAGCCAACAAGTCCATCGCTGCTTGCTGACCACTGCGCCACGGCGGAGTCTCTACACGTGTGTACAGTACAGTATCCACGTGTACAGTATTCCACGTGTGTACAGTACAGTACTCCATGCGTGTACAGTATCCACGTGTACAGTCCCCCATGCGTGTACAGTACTCCACGTGGGTGCCGTACAGTATCCACGTGTACAGTACCCCATGCGTATACAGTACTCCACGTGTACAGTACTCCACGCGTGTACAGTACTCCACGCGTGTACAGTACTCCACGCGTGTACAGTACTCCACGCGTGTACAGTACTCCACGCGTGTACAGTACTCCACGTGGGTGCCGTACAGTCGGTGACAGGCAGTGGGAATCGAACTCGGGTGGCTGGGTTAGTGGCGAGGCGCGCTCCTACCGCTGACACGACTACCGCTCTCCATGGAGACTCACTCGCAGAGACACAATGAGACACGCACGCAGACAGCAAGACTCACACACACAGAGACTCACAGAGACAGACTGAGACTCACACACACACACAGAGGCAGGGAGTATCTGAGACTCACACACACAGAGACTCGCGCACACACAGAGACTCACAGCGACTGAGACTCACACACACAGAGACTCACACACACAGAGACTCACAGAGACTGAGACTCACACACACAGAGACTCACAGAGACTGAGACTCACACACACACAGAGACTCACACACACACAGAGACTCACGCACACACAGAGACTCACAGAGGCTGAGACTCACACTCACAGAGGCAGGGAGTATCTGAGACTCACACACACACAGAGACACACAGAGACTGAGACTCGCAGAGGCAGGGAGTCGCTGAGACTCACACACACAGAGACTCACACACACAGAGACTGAGACTCACGCACACACAGAGACTCACACACACAGAGACTGAGACTCACATACACAGAGACTCACACACACAGAGACTCACACACACAGAGACTGAGACTCACACACACAGAGACTCACACACACAGAGACTGAGACTCACGCACACACAGAGACTCACACACACAGAGACTGAGACTCACATACACAGAGACTCACACACAGAGAGACACACAGAGACTGAGACTCACACACACAGAGGCAGGGAGTCTCTGAGACTCACACACACAGAGACTCACACACACAGAGACTCACACACACAGAGACTGAGACTCACACACAGAGGCAGGGAGTCTCTGAGACTCACACACACAGAGACTCACGATCGCGGCCACCACGAGCCAGGGCAGACGCACACGCCCGTGACGTCACGCAGCGGCCCCTCCCCCCCGCACTGAACCCCCCCCCCCCCCGCACTGAACCCCTCCCCCCCCCGCACTGAACCCCTCCCCCCCCCGCACTGACCCCCTCCCCCCCCCCGCACTGAACCCCTCCCGCACTGACCCCCTCCCCCCCCCCGCACTGAACCCCCCCCCGCACTGAACCCCTCCCCCCCGCACTGAACCCCCCCCCGCACTGAACCCCCTCCCCCCCCCGCACTGACCCCCAGCGATGGTATGGCCCGCGTGGTGGCTGGGTGGGTGGGGGTAGCCCGGAGCGGCCCTCTCGCTCGCAGCCGCAGATTCACTTCGCTTTGGTCACCCGCTCGCGTCACGCCGGCGAACGAGACGCGTGCTTCACCCGTGTGGTGAAATACTCTTCACACTCACTCACTCTTCTCGTGTCGAGGGGTCAAACTACCCGACTACTGATGGAGTCGTATCCACTCACTCACTCACCCACCCACTCGCTCACCCACTCAGTCACTCACACAGCCACTCACCCAGACACTCACCCAGACACTCACCCAGACACTCACCCACCCACTCACCCACCCAGTCACTCACCCAGACACTCACCCAGACACCCACCCAGTCACTCACCCAGTCACCCACCCAGTCACTTAGCCAGTCACTCACCCACCCAGACACTCGCTCAGACACTCACCCACCCAGTCACTCACCCAGTCACTCACACACTCACTCAGTCACTCAGTCACTCACCCAGACACTCGCCCAGACACCCACCCAGTCACTCACCCACTCACCCAGCCACTCACTCAGTCACTCACCCAGTCACTCACCCAGCCATTCACTCAGTCACTCACCCAGACATTCGCCCCACTCACCCCACTCACCCACCCAGTCACTCACCCAGACACTCGCCCAGACACCCACCCAGTCACTCACCCACTCACCAACTCACACGCGGACCGACTCACCCACCCACCCACCCACTCAACTCACCTCCTCAACTCACCCATTCAACTCACCCATTCAACTCACCCACTCAACTCACCCACTCAACTCATCCACTCAACTTACCCACTCAACGACTCACCCACCCACACACTGACCCACTAACAAACTGAACCACAAACTCACCCATTATACTCCCGTTCTAAACTATCCATACTGTGTTCAACCACCAAACTGCAGGTCACAACACACTCACAAATTCACCTACTCATCCATTCAATCACCTACTCACCCACTCACTCACCCAGCCACTCTGCAGATCAGAAACACTATTTCTGCTTCTTCCCTCCCACTGCTGCACTTTGGGATTCCTTCCCCCCACCGTCTCTCTGCAGTTCTGTGAAAGGGGCCGTCCATAAATGACGTCACACGATTTTGGACGATTTTTTACCCCCCCGTCACACGGCGTCACAAAAAGACCCCCCCTCAAATGACGTCACAAAGCTCTGCCCCCCCCCCAAAATGCTTCAAATCGCTTTAAACTATTGTCATTGTAGTGCGTATTTAATGTGGCGCTGCACTCTGGTGTTGTGGGAGAAAACATTTAATACAAAGTCTATTTAATTAAGTAGAACGTGTTGTCTATATTTAAAGTTGCGCATTTTGATGTGACGTCACATTTCTCAAACCCCCCGCCCCTCGTCACAAATGTCTGACCCCCCCTCCCCCCCGAGGTGCGTGACGTCATTTATGGACGGCCCCAAAGCTACTTCCGCGGACTGGTTCTCTTGCCAATGGCGCCTCTGATGTGCTGCGGCTCCATGATCGGCGTGTTCCCTTTCACGGTCTCAGTCCCATCCATCGTAAGCGCGCGTTGGGCATCCATAACTCCGCTCCACCGGGCAATGGTGGCTGCCTGTAAACCAGCATCGAGGATCACCGCACCGGGGAAATTATTTGAGTCTGAGTCAACCTAGGGGAGACTCAGGACCCCCCCCCCCCCGCCCGCCATCTCTTCGGCATTATTCCACTGCGAGCATAGACACCTGAAGATATTCCTGGGGAGGGGAAAACATTTTTTAGCCAAAGCCGCCATCCACACCACCGAAACTCAAGGTCGCCGGGTCCGTAGCGCAGCGCGCTGACCCCTGCACCGTAGACAAAGATCCATCGGCACATCCTCAACAGACTGCTGGGGGCGAGTGGTGTCCGCGAGGATGATGAAGGCCGGTACAGCACCACGCCGAGCCGCCCATTGAGCACCTTGAGGTCGAGTCAACCTCGGGGAGGCCCAGGACCGGTTCTGATTTCCGTCGGTGGTGCTGGCCGTGAGCGGGAATCGAACCCGGATGGCCGGGTTCGTAGCGCAGAGCACGAACCGCTACACCACTGCACCAAAGACAGAGATCCCCCGTGTAGCCTCAACAGACTTGGGGGCGAGTGCTGTTCGCGAGTAGCGTCAGATAAAACGACAAATCGCTAACTTTAAAAACCCAGCCGTTCATAAAAACATTTGAAGGCAGTATAGTACTATAGTAATGGAGCAAGTGCAGAATCACTGAACGGAAATTGATAGCTTGAAAGCATACTCATTGTTTTTTTCGGTAAAGTCACGTAGGTAAAAAATTAAATAAAAAATGTTAACTAAATTAAATCACGACGTTTCGGGCACAACACAAGCGTCCGTCTTCAGGTGGGGACAACGCAGCGAAAGCACAACCACTTAAGCATTTTGCGCGGGGCCCTTGAAAGTGCGTAGGTGACACAGACTTATTTCACAGGTGTGCGCGCAGCATTGCTTGAACAAGAGGCTCTTCTCAGCCTTGACCAGACCACCAGCTCACAAGAACTGAATGTGGCCACTTGTTTCGTTTAGAGCTCCCCCCGCCCCCACCCCCAACTCAAAGAGTCGAGAGAACGTGACCATCCCCTTTCAGGCAGCGGTGCAATAGAGACACAACACACGATGTAGAGCGGTCGTTGTCTTCATTTGGGAGTCACCGGGACACAGAGGAGCAACTGTGAGGGGGGGGGGCAGCGTTATGCGACGCATAGGGGGCCCGGTCAGCCACTAGGGGGACCCCCGAATGAACAGATAAACACACAAGTACAAACATGTTAAGAAAAATTATTACAAATTTACGACAAAAAAATCCCTGCATTCTACCATGGAGCAAGCCCGATAATTAACGCATCTGGCTATCGTCGTATCAACAGAGCAGCGTCAAGTTGCGCGATCCACCCCCTTTGAGGAAGTCCTGGACCGATAGGGCCGGCATGAAATCAAGACGCCGACAACTTAATTGAGCATCGTTACCTTGACATATTTTATTAATACTGTCCCTGTGAGACCGTCTTCCGCTAAACCCAATACGCGGTGCAGCAACTAAACAAGAGAAACGTGAGACTCTCGATTGTCCGCGTGCAGTTGATCCAATGTGCGGATTCACCGCACGGCACCTGAGATTATGACGTCAATTAATAACTCGTGGATTTCCCCTCGAGCCAAAACTAATACCTCCTATCACCCAGGAATGTCTGTCCTTAACGCTCTTGACGTCACTCCGTCGACCAGCCCCCCCCCCCCCCTCATTAATAATCATGACCATGTGACGTCCTCCAAATGGACACCCCCCTCCATTAATAACAGTTAGCAGGTGACGTCACTCCACATTGGGGGGGCGAGGCGCCTCCTCCCTCCTCAGCATCAACTTTTAACCCTCACTACAAAGGCAGAACCCTCACGTCACGCGATCTCCATAAAGCTTGTTGAGACATATAACTAAAAAGGACGTCAAGATGAACAAGGGATTATAACCTTCAAATGAAATAGGTCTGTCACCGCGGCCTTACAAACTGCACACGCATTAATGCAATGAATACCACGACGCGGTCTGCTTTTCGTTTGCAAGTTTCAGATTTACTGCAATACATCCGTCCTTGGACGAGCAAAAGGCGAGTAATCTCATAACAGTTATACATTGTTACTCCTGGGAATGTTTATTACAAGCCACATGGTGCTTAAACCGAACAAATGTGTGATCCGGCTCATCTAAAATCCACATGATCGCCTCTACAGTACAGTAGTTGCAATATCTTTACAAGTGAGGTGGAGTTTGATTGATGTTGATTGACGTGGCTCTGCCGTCATCCAATTCGTAGGCCGAGTCTTCTGCGCGGGAGCAGGAAAGTGTCATGACTGAGCACGCGCATCAATCGGTCGACCATTAGCTCTTGGCATAGAGACCCGTGGAGAAATGCTTCTTTTTCTGAACTATATCCGCGACTTTGAATCATCCGCAGCCGTCCTCCCCGTCATTAGCGCGGATCATCGGGAGTCTACTGAAAGTTACAGCCCAGATTGTTGTATATACGGGGTTACAAAAAAATATCATCCGTTGCCATTTGAGTAAGAGTCGGGGTGAAACGAGTGGGTCGCCCACAAGTCAGATGTTGCCATACCCACCACCGCCGTTGAAATTGGCCGTCGCGTCACCTGCCGGGGGAGAGCGTTGTCATCAAACGTTCGGTGCCGACACAGAAACACGTCACGGCTCTGTCGCCCGTTATTCTTTGGCTCAGAAAGGGCCCCCTTGGCCAATAACATCAGCCGCCATTCGCCACTAAGTGACGGTGGCGTTACCACGGCGCCTGTGCCAGGCCCAAGTGCACTTTGAGGCCACGTTAAGTGTCGAAGGCTCGCCGGGAGGTCTCGGGACAGACCCGGCAGGTGCCATGGGTCGGCTGACTGAGATGCCCGGTAGATGCACCAGCTGTAACCCCCCCCCCCCCCCCCCCCCCCCCCAGTGCCAACTTGCTGCATTTTATCCACCCAACGCTCCACACAACCCCACACATTGAACCCACGACCTCTGCGGGGGGGAGGGGTAACGGAGAGAAAAATCCCCAAAACCTCAGCGAATGAACCAAGTTGAGATAAAAAAAATAATCACCCCCCGGAATTCACGCCTTTATAATCCAACCAGAACCCTTGATATTTCTCATAAACGCATTCGACTAGTAATTCACGTCTAATTATAGCGAGTGAAATATATATAATGTACGCACACCCGTCAACCCCTTATCAGTGCCAACCTTATTACAGACCAATTCAGACCTTATTGGTCGCCCCGTGCCCTTATACATCTCAACGTTCATCCTACAGAGCCAGAATTGAAACGGCTGGATGCCGTATGGACCTGAAAACTCAATTTCCCTGCACAAGAATACGGGGTAAACCGTATAGGTTGACAGGTCTGTGTACGCATGCATGTACAGTCGACATGCACAAACTCTTTATAATAGTTAAACATCGGCGGGTGTCCATTCACCTGGGGAAAGGGCGCAGCCACGCCATGGGGGAGGGGCTTTGGCATTCCAAGCCATTGGCTGCACGCCCCATTACATTAAAACTATGCAGATTATAAATGTGTGGAGGGAAAAACCGGAGAAAAATCCAAGCGACCACGGGGAGAAAGAGAGACACTGCAAACTCCAAATATACAGCAGGCGTCAGGGTCGTGATCGAACGCTCGACCTCCTGCATACCAGGTGAGGAAGTGAACATCTCACGAGTGGAGAACTCGTCGCTCTGCAGCGGAAAATAAAACAGCTGTCACTTTACTACTCTTGCCACAATCTTATAGCGGAACCACCGACAGTAATCTTCCTTTTGATGTCGTAATAAAATGCCATGATAATAACTGTTGCGAGTTTTTTTTGTTATATCTATATTCTCCAGGATTTAAAGAGATTCTGGAGAAACAATTACCTTAACCCCTTTCCCGCTCCGAGACGTCTGCAAGTTGTGGGGTGTGGTGGGTCATCCCGTTCACCGCCGAGTCTTGGAACGTACGAGCGGGTTCAGCGTTCGTTTTATTTAGGAGAGGTGTAGTCGTAGCAACGCCGTTGTTTTTCCAGACGTCGTCACCGCAGAGAACCGTGGTGACATAACCGCCGCCACTCTACGATAGTCGCCGTCAAACCGTACCACACACGCCCTCTCGCATGGCCTTGTACTTCTGATTACGTTCCGTGACGTACGTCATCGGAATGGGAAAGGGTTAAAAGGGAGCCAAAAGTCCGAGCGACATTAAATAACCTTGCATGGCGAGTCTTCTGTGTTCGTGACTCCTGCCTCTTCAGCGTCGCTATCGAGTACTGTCCCGCCTCTCCTCCCAACTTCTCCCGTACGTTCCGAATTTCATTTTCAGCACTGATTTAATCCCCTGTAGCCAGTTACACGGCCCATGGCCATGAACAATAAAGTTATTGTTGGGGTGCAGAGGAGCCCAGCCAGCAGCCAGCCAGGAGAATCGAGGCATAGATAATAATAATAATAAATGTTTGATATGAGCACGATTATTCCGCTCGATTGCTCAGGTAATGTTTTATATGAGCATGATTATTCCGCTCGATTACCCAGGTAAGTCTCATCCAGGAGGCTCTTGCCGAGTTATCGCAGTAGGGCAGGGGGGGGGGGAGTGCGCCGCTGCCGCTGCTGCGTGTGACCCCAGTTGAATGATTTTTGTTGAGATTTTTTTTGTATTTTCTTCAGAATTGAGTTGTTTACATCGCGTAAATATAAATGTGTCGTTAAAACCCACCACTGCCCGACACAGCCATTTAGTAAAGGTTTATCACGTGAACAAAACGTGGCAATTCGTTACTCTCCAACACACCGGTTATAGCTGGAGAGTAATTAGTGCTGAACTAGTAACGAATTGGCACGTTTTATTTACAAATCTTACTAATTGGCTGTCGGATGGTGGCGGGTTTAACGACATTTATATTTACGTGGTCTAACCCAAAAAAACGATTATAGATAATATTGGTCGTGAAAGCTGCCTCCTACTACTACTACGTGTTTAACTGACCTGGTACATTGTGTCGGGGTACTTTGTTTTAGCTGTGGGAAGCAACTGGAAAACCCAGTGGAAACAAATCGCAGAACACGGAGAGAAACATTGCAAACTCTACGTACACTCGCACAGAGACAAAGACGCCCCACCACTCCATATAACATTTAACAAACCGCAGGGGGCAAGTGCTGTTTGCAAGCAGCACCAATGAAAAACAAAACTCTTCTGGATGAGTACCAATGAAGGTCGGCACGGCACACGAGGGAGGGGGGTGGTTGGCCAGCACCACGCCAGGTCACCTTTGTCTGCCAAGTGCTGATGGTTTACATACCTTACATTTACATACCGCGCCAGGTACTCATTTGAAACAGAGTCGACCCAGCTAGGCCCAAGCTCCTTCAAATATTTGCCACCGTTATTGGTCGTGAGCGGAAATGGAACCCGTGTAGCCAGGCTCGTAGCAGTGCGCTAATCACTGTTCCGCCGCTCCCCTTATACACTCTCACTCACACTCTGCATGTAGGTACGTATGTACAGTATTTCCTCGTTATTCACGAACTCGCTATTCGGAAATTTGGATATTAGCGAATTGCATCTGGAGCTCCACACAACTGCTGCGTCGAGAGAGAGAAAGCGGTGAGAGATAAGCGATGAGAGACAAAGTCACGAGAGATAAAGTGATGATTGATAAAGTGATGAGAGATAAAATGATGAGAGATTAAGTGATGAGAGATAAAGTGATGAGTGATACAGTGATGAGAAATAAAATGAGACAAATTGATGAGAGAAAGTGATGAGTGATAAAGTGAAGAGAGATAAAGTGATGAAAGTAACGAGATAAAGTGATGAGATAACGCTCATAGCTATTAGCTTATTTACGCATTTATTTAAGGTGATTTATTAAAAAGATCGTTTTTTCGTCCGCCAATATCATTATCCGCACAATGTGCCATTCACGAGCATCTCCAGAACGTATCCCTCATGAAACAACGAGAGAATATTGTCATGTATGTTCAACTTCTTTCGCACCGTACGTAGCCAAGCATGCTAAATCGGAGGTGGGACATTCTCTCTCCCAGCAGAACAACGGGGAGAGAGAACGTACAACGTCCAATAAAAATTGAAAAGTGCGCGAGGAGTTGGGAATCAAACCCAGGCGCTTCTTGCTGCACGGCTCTGGTGCCGGGGGTGCCGGGGGTGCCGCGCTCCGCTTCCGCACACTCTGGAGGTTCGGATCCAGGCGCGTTGCAGCAGGAGGCTGCCGCCAGCCTCTCAGTGGATGCTCACGGTGACACTGCTGTTGGTCATCCTGGCCCCGTACCAGCCGGACCAGAACTGCGTGTCCTTGCCCGAGTGCTCGAAGCGCAGGTAGCGCACGCCGGGCCCGTAGTCGCGGAACACGTGGCTCACCTGCGCAGGACACAGCCACTGATTAACCCACCCACCGACTCACTCACTCACCTACTCACCCATTCAACTATCCACTAACTCAGCCATTCACTCACCCACCCACTGACTCACTCACTCACTCACCTACTCACCCATTCAACCACCCACTCACTCAGCCATTCACCCACTCACTCACCCACCTACCCAACCAACCGACACACGCATTCATCCACCCACTCACTCAGCCATTAATTCACCCACTCATCTACTGACTCACTCATCCACTCATCCATTAATTCACCCACTCACGGAGCCATTCACCCACCCACCGACCCATTTATCCACCCACTCATGCATTTACTCAGTAAAAATCCCGTGCAGCCTTAACAGATTCTCGGGGCTGTTAGTGAGCACATGGCTCAACTGCACAGGACACACCCACTCATTCAGCCATTCACTTAGCCACTCACTCACCCATCCATCCACCCAACCACCGGCCGACTCACCTCCTCAGTCTTCATCCACGCACTCAGTCATTCACTTAGCCACTCACCCACCTGCCCAATGACTCACTCACCCATTCATCCACCCACTCACCAACCCACCCACCTACTCATCCATTCATCCACCCACTCACCCACCCACCCACCAACCGACTCACTCACCCACTCAAACATTCATCCACCCACTCACCAACCCACCCACCCACCTACTCATCCATTCATCCACCCACCCACTCATCTACCCACCTACTCATCCATTCATTCACCCACTCACTCACCTACTCACCCACCCATTGATCCACCCACCGACTTACCCATTCATCCACCCACTCATTCGTTCACTCACAAAGATCCCCCGGATAGCCTTAACAGACTCTTGGGACAAGTGCTGTTTGCGAGCAGCTATTCAGGCCAGCATGACACACGAGGGGGTGAGTGGCCAGCGCCACGCCTGTGTACATCCCCGGTATTTCTTCGAAACGGAACCGGAAGAAAACAAATCAAATAACCTTCATCGGTAACGAGGCTCCCACAAGGCCATGCGGTAGGGCGCGTGTATTGCGCAGTTTTGGCGCCGGCTATCGTAGTGGTGGCGGTCGTGCCGCTCCGTTCCTCTGCGTTGTGAGTAACAATGTCTTTCGGAAAGCAACGGTGCTGCTGCTGCTTTTACGCCTCTAAATAAAAAAATAACGCCGAAACCGGCTTGGTGACTGAAACGACCCGCCGCCGCCACCACCACCACCGCCACCTCTACCACCACCTTGCTACCGCCTTCACCGCTGGTCTGTGGTTCCTTCCCGCAACCTCCGAGTCGTACTCTCTCTCTCTCGCTCCCTCTCGCTCCCTCTCTCTCCAACTTTATCTTTCTTGCTCACTCTTTCTCTCTCTCTCTCGCTCTCTCTTTCGTTCGCTCGCTCTTCGAGAGCGAGCGACTACCGTGTGGTGGCGACGCGTTACAGGTTGCGGGCCCTCACCTGGTTCCAGCAAGCGTCGGTCCACTGCGGGATGGGCTTGGGTTTGTGGTCGAAGCGCGCGAGGACTCGGCTCTTATCCTCAGCGAGCAGCGTCACACTCAGCTCGTACACGCAGCCGCAGTCCCAGCGTGCGGCATACCTAACCGCACCGCCACCACTCCATCGTCATCATCATTAAGATCGTGATCATCATCATTCACAACACAGCCACGGTCCCAGCGTGCGGCGTACCTAACCATACAGCCACCACTCCATCATTGGCGTCACCGTCACAATCGCCATCATCACCGTTGCGATCGCTACCATCATTCGCAACACAGCCACGCCACGACAGCATTGCCCCAACAGTCTGTTAAGGGTTTTATGGGGGGTTGTTGTGTGTGTGTGTAAGTCGCCAGAGCCATGCAGTTTTAAATCTATATTGAAAATTAATTTCTTTAAAAGTGCTTTTGTGTTCAAGTTTGTTCTCCCCCCCGCACTCCTCCGATGAGCGCGGCTTGCTACGTACGGTGCGAAAAGAGTTCAACGTACACCCGCTAAGACGTGGTCTCTGGCATTGGCTAAGTAGTCGAACAAAGACGGTGGTCACCGCAACATCGCGCGGCGCTTTCAGATGCGGCTGCTTCAGCGGCCGTCTGGAACGCTCTTCCCTTCCGATATTAGTAAGCCACTGGGAGTTACGCACCATTAAATCGTCCAGATTGACAAACTCATTTCTTTAGAACTTGCTATTTGTGCGTTTAGTTTGTTGTCCTTCCCCCTGCACACCTCGATTAGCACGGCTGGCTACGTACGGTGCAAACGAAGTTCAACGTACATCCGCAGATACGCCGCGTGCCGCCGTTACCGTCCAAATTTGCCAAATTCGTTCATTTACACCGGTAAATCACTCAATTGAGATTGCACAAAGCAGCGGCAGCAGCAGCAGCATTGCTGACGACCGTGAAGCCGCCCCAGGCTGTGTGCACGTGAAACACAGCGGCGCCTTTCCTCTTGACGGTCGCTATCAGGACGACGGCACCAATGCCAAATGAACAAAATTATTTTCGCGATCATTTCCAACAACGCGAAGGCAGGTTCGTTGACCGACTGATATTGCTCGTTCGCTGGGGAAAGCCTCAGCGGGTCTCAAAGACTCTTGCCCCGTGAGGTTTTTTTGGCGGTAACGTGGAGCGATAAATGCTGCAGTGCGTTTCCCAACGGAGTAATTTGCGAAGGGGGAAGACACAACAAACTAGGCACAAAGAGCAGTTCTAAAAAGAATGAGTTTGTCAAGCGAGACGGTGACTTAAAAGCACACATCCCTAGTGGCTTCCTAATATCGGAGGGAAGAGCGTTCCAGACGGCCGCAGACGCGCATCTGAAAGTGCGCGATGGCGGCGACTGCTTCTTTGTTCTAAGGCTAGCAAAGACGCAATGTTCATTGGGCAGTCAACGGAGGCTTTCCCATACACTCTCTACCCCTGGCCTGGCAACAGCTGGGTGTGCTTCATTGCACCGATTATTGGCATCCCTTTAAATCGGAAGCCGTGTTTTTCAACTTTCAAGCTTCGTTCATCGTCCCAACATTTCCAATCGCCGTCTCGGCAGGCTTCGTCACACTCGTTCCCTCCCGAGTGCTGCCTATCGTTGGATCGAGACTGGACCCGTTCGATGGCCAGCACTGGCGGCAGCGGTGGAGTTAGCGGCACGACCGTGAGATCAGGACAGGGTCGGAGGAGCGCGCGGGCATCGCCTTAAACGGCGGGCGTATGTGAAGGGAGGCGCCTCCGTGCCACCCACCAGTCCGAGACGGCGATGTGGGGCTGGTATTCGTCGAGCAGCTCCACCCAGAGCCCCTCTGCCAGCAGGGACACCACCTGCTCCTTGCCGCACCAGCTGACACACGTCAAAGACAAAGATCCCGAGCGCTGTTAGCGAGCAGCAGATCTGTATGAACGCAGGCACCGCACACGAGGGGGTGGGTGGACAGCACCATTCCCGGCCGCCTTTGATGTTAACTACATATCGCACAGGGTGCTCATTTGGGAGGCCGAGTCGACCGAGGGGAGGCCCACCAGGGTCCGGTTCGGATAATCGTCACTGGTGTTGGCCATGAGCGGGATTCGAATTGGGGTCTACCCAACACACAACAAAGACAAAGATCCCCTGTATAGCCTGAACAGACCAGTAGGGGCAAGTTCTGTTAGCGAGCACCTATGAAGGCCGGCACGGCACACGAGGGGTTGGGTGGCCAACACAACGCCCGGCCGCCTTTGTCTCCCCAGTGGCGATGTTTTACACACCATACGAGGTACATATTTGAGACCGAGTCGACCTGGCTCAGTCTCTAACCCTCTGGCTCAGCTCTGGCTCAGTCTCTAACACTCAGGCTCAGTCTCTGGCTCAGTCTCTGGCTCAGTGTCTAACACTCAGGCTCGGCTATGGCTCAGCTCTGGCTTGAGCCACTCACTTGCTTTTAAAGAGGCGTGAGCGGCTGGCTCAGCTATCGCTCGGGCTCAGCCCCATGGAAATTCTGAGCACGACTGGGACCACGCTCTAATTGAGCCAGCTCAAGTTTAACTTGGCTTAATTGAGCCAGTAAAGCCAGAGTCGAGCCTGAGCTGAGTTGAAACTTAAGAATAATGCGGGCCATGATAGGACTGCGGTGTGACGGGTGCAGGGGGAGGGAGCGTACTTGTAGGACGACACAAAGGACTTGGTGATGTGGGTGTGCGGCTCTGGAAGAGGCACCATCACGTCCTCCACGTTCCAACGGTCGCCGCCGTTGCTTGTGATATGCCAACCGTCAAACTGGTCTTGCACGTACAGAGTGCACGGGTGAGGTGGGCAAGAGGAGAGAGTGTCTTTTGTCAACATGACACAGTTTTTACTGATTGGCCGTGTCGCAAAAGCCTACGTGTTAAACTTCCTACCATAGTTAAAAAAAATTAAACCCACACAATGGAACCGCTGCTAGCCAAAACATCACAATGCTCAAAGATTATCTGGCAAATCACTCCATTGGGAGAACATAGACAGCAGCAGCAGGCAACATCGTCCCCAAATGTAAATACTTAAGACCCAGTGAGGATTTCCTAGTATATCAGAATGGCTGTGTGAGGGTGATCTGTACACGTTCCCATCAGTGAGCTCGCTCCGGATAGAGGAGGCTATGAACGAGCATGACACTCGGCTAGAGACGACATGGAACTTGATGCGGTACGGGAGGATGTGGAGCTGAGTGGACTTGCAAAAAACCGGTACCAGCAGTGTCAACATCAGCCTCTGTGGAGGAGGCTCATGAAGGACGCTACTGGGCAGCGGGAGACAATTTGCTCTCAAGCACCAGCAGAGGGCAGAGGAGTGACGCTCACAACAGTAATGCGGCATATTGACACATTAGGGGGCACAGCTGGTACATCTTGCCAGTCATCTCAGTCGGTCAACCCGTGTGGCACCTGGGTCTGTCCCGTGACCTCCTATCAGCAGCGATAATCTCGACAATTCAAGTGGTAGCCTGAAAGTGCACCTAGCCTGGCACAGGCACCTTGGTAACATCACCGTCACTTAGTGGCGAATGGCGGGTATTGGTGAGGGTGAGTGAATGAAGTTCGTATGTTCTCCCCCCTGTTCTGCATGGGGTTTTCTCCAGGTTCTCCATTTTCCTTCAGTAGTTAAAGAAAAAATATACGAAACTGATATCGGTCAAAACATCCCAATGCTGACAAATATACCTGACGAATTACTCAATTATTTTTACCAAGTAAGAACCACGGAGCAATGTATGGGCCTTAGCAGAGCAAGCAGAACACTGGGCGGCTAAAACGCAGCAAGTTGGCACAATGGAGAACACAGATGGGGGGGCATCTGCCAGTCGTCTCAGTCAGTTAACCCGTGGCACCCGAGTTGGTCCTGTGATGTTAGCAAGTTTTCAACACTCACTAAACTAGTTTTTTATTTCACCAGCTAAGGCTCACTGAGCTATTTCGCTTGTTTTCAGAAGCGACCATGCCACAAATGATAGCTCAATGAGGAGGCTTACCACGTGGAAATGTATTGCAGCCAAATACTCTAAACGTGTGATGTTGATCCTAAATGTAGAGGGGAAAAACTGGAGGACCCAGAGAAAACTCCACGCGACCACTGGGAGAGAGAGACGCAAACTCAAAATATTCAGCAGGCGTCAAGGGTTGGGATCGAACCCCCAACCTCCTGTATACCAGGTGAGGTAGTTAACATCTCCTAGCCACCACGACTCTCCTGCAGGGTAAACAGAAGTAGCATAATAATGATGATGATAATAATAATCATAATAATAAGTGGCTTACCATGTGGAAATGTATCGCAGCCAAATACTATAAATCAGAGGTCACAAACGGGTTTTGATTCCTTACCCGTACCGGTACCTGGCCGCACCAGGGTCGCAAACGGGTATGGGTAGCCAGTTATTGGGTAGGGTACGAGTATCGGGTACCCGATTGCGACCTCTGGGATGAAGCCATGTTGCAGGCGTGGGTGGGTTGATTCTAGGAACTTGAATTGTGAGAAGAGACAAGACGTTGGGAAATGAGTGACAAACGGTTACTCACCAATGACTCACAGCCTACCCGTACCCATACCTGGCCGCACCAGGGTCGCAAACGGGTCCCCGTACCCGTACCCGGCTGGGTACGGGTAGCCGGGTATCGGGTAGGGTACAGGAATCGGGTACCCGATTGCGACCTCTGCTATAAATGCACGAGGTTGGTCATAAATGTGGAGGGTAAAACTGGAGGACCTGCAGAAAAATCCCTGCCACCACCGGGATAGCATGCAAACTCCAGATGTGTCCTGCAGGCATCAGGGTCGGTTATTAAACCCACGATCTCGTGTATAACAGGCGAGGTAGTTAACATCTCCTAACCATCGGGGCACCCTCATCCACTATCCAGTCCCCACTTATAGTGTCTGATGGAGACAATGACGAGATATCAGCGTTTAAGGCGGACCCCAAGCCCAGTCCTCACGATGATAATAAATATAATCACAATGATGATAATAAATATAATGATCACAATGATGATAATAATGCTCACTGGTAGCGCAGGGGTTCTGCAGCAGGTTCCTGCTGAATGGGCCCTTCAGGTAGAAGGCCCTCCAGTCAAACGCGGGCGGCAGGGGCATCCTGGAGCAGCGGGCATCACTCCACTTGCCCTCGCGCCGGCACTTGAGCTTCCACAGGGCGCCCGAGTCGACGAGGCGGCGCCAGGCGGAGCACACAGCGCGGCAGTGGCGGCTCAGGTCGGCCTCCGGCACCCAGCTCAGGATCTCCAGCAGGACGTCGTCCGGGGCGGCCGACAGGTCGACGAGAAGCGGGAGGAGGCACGGCGCGGACATGTCCTCGGGGCTTGCGACAGCCGGCCGCGTCGCGCTCTGACCCATTGGGTGTGCCAGCGCTACGCGCTCCTGTGCGTACCGTGAAGACGTTAGCCGCTATTAACACCGGCGCTGCCGCTCTTGAGTGCGTGTTGAACTGCTTTCGCAGCCGTACGTTGCCCACCGTGCCAATCCGAGGTGCGGAGGACAACAAACTAACACAAAAAAGCAGTTCTAAATAATTTAGTTTTCAATTTAGTATAGTGCTGTCGTGTAGTATATAGTAGTGGTGTATATTAGTGTAGTGTATAGTAGTGTAGTGTATAGTAGTGTAGTGTATAGTGTCCATAATACAAGGTTTTTGGGTTAGATCTTCTCTTCTCTTAATATATAAATGTGTCGTTAAGCTCGCCACCACCCGACACAGCCAACTAGTAAGGGTTGCAACGTAAACAGAACATGCCAATTCGTTACTAGCACAGCACACCGGTGTGTTGGAGAGCCAAGCCACAATATTCACAATCTGAGTACGACGTTCCACCAGTAATCATCAGGTGACAGCCAGATTTGTGGAGAAGTCCACCTGTTTCGTTCCTTATATAGGCGTAGATGTGATATTGGTCGTGAAAGCCTACGTGTTAAACCAGTAGTGTAGTGCATAGTAGTGTTGTGTATAGTCGTGGAGTGTATAGAAGTGGTGTGTGTAGTAGTGTAGTGTATAGTCGTGTAGTGTATGTGGTGTAGTGTATAGTTGTGTAGTGTACAGTAGTGTAGTGTACAGTAGTCTTGTGTATAGTCGTGGAGTGTATAGTAGTGTTGTGTATAGCAGTGTAGTATATAAGTGTAGTGTATAAGAGAAGTTTTTAAATATATTTTCCCCCGGGCAACGCCGGGTACTTTTATTCCCCCATAAAACCTTTAACAGACTGTTGGGGCAATGCTCTTCACGAACATCTATGAAGGGCCCGGCACGGCACACGAGGGGGTGGTGGCGGGTGGGTGGCCAACACCACGTCTCAACCAGTGCTGATATTTACTAAACCACACTCGCAACCAGGTGCTCATTTGAGGCCGAGTCGACCTAGGGGTTGATGGGGTCCAGAGGCTCACGAGCGGTTTGGATATTTGCCGTCGCTGGCGGTTATGTCGTGAGTTGCGCTACCGGTCACACCAAACCCGCGAGACTGGTCGGTCAACGTGGCTGGAGAATGAGCCCAGCTTTAAAATAAAAAAATTATAGCCGCGTTTAATACTATTTTTTTATGTTCCGGTAATACGAATAAAGTGGTATACGTCGTTAATTCGTTCCAGAAGGTAGGACTTATACCGAAAATGACGTATACCAAACTAATTTTTCCCATAAGAAATAAAGGGAAAGGAAATAATCCGTTCCAGAGTATAAGAAATTATATTTTATATGGCATATTATACATTCATGGGGTTGTATAAATAATTTAGACACTACTTATTACTAAAATGCATACATAGATTAAAATAAATGCATAAATAAATTTAAATTGAAATAAAAATAAAATGTAACATCACTTTACCTTGCTGAGAGGAGTTGATAGCCTACGAGGATGGTGGCGAGGGAGGGGAGGAGATGTTATTTTTTTGAAGGAGAGTCCCCTTCCATTAAAACTTCAGGAAGCTGAAATTCTGGGGTTTTTTCTCTTTTCTGTCTTTTTTCTTGGCTTGGACCTGGTTGAGGCTCACCGGGTTTGAGTTTTACTAAAAACCTGTCCATTGAAGTTTGTTTTTGCCGTCTTCTAAGAATGTTCCTGAAGTGTGACATTGTTTGGTCATTCCACACAATACTGTTACGGCTTGTTAGAGCCGTAACAGTATTGTGTACGCGGCGACTCATCCTGACTCGTACAACTTCTAGCAAGCGCGTCGTATCCCAAGCAAGACGTCGTATCCCAAGACATGTTTCTCTCGTCAAAACACGACGCATACCAAATTCGACGTATTCCAAAGCGGTCGTATACCGAGGTACCACTGTAATAATTTTGTATTCCTGGTGTTTGGAGAGAGAAGTGAAAGCGCTTTTGTCACGGCGGGTGTGGTGAGGATGCTGGGGTTGGTGGGTGGAAAAGTACCACAGACCTTCTGATGCTGCTGCACGTAACACTACAGCCAGTAGACTACAAAGTAAAAGTTTGGAGTAAACACTGGGAGAGGAAACAGAGCAGCTGATGCTGCTGCTGCACGTGACTCCATAGCCAGTCGCCTACACTGGGAGAGGACAACATGCCTGCTGATGCTGCTGTGAAATTATCGTTTTCATTACTAATGTTGTGGATGTGAGCGCGGCGATTATAAGAGCGAGAGCTTGGAGAGAGAGGGGATGTGGTGCCGAGGTTATTGTGATGATTCTGTACTACAAAGACAAAGATCCCCCGTGTAGTCTTAACAGACTGTTGGGGCAAGTGCTGTTAGCGAGTAGCAGCACCTATGAAGGCCGGCAGGGCACACGAGGGGTGGGTGACCAGCACCACGCCCGGCCGCCTTTGTCTCCCCAGTGGCGATGTTTACACACCGCACCAGGTACTCATTTGAGGCTGAGTCGACCTAGGGGAAGCCCGGGACCGGTTCAAATGATTGTCACTGGTGGTGGCCGTGAGCGGGAATCGAACCCGGGTCGCCAATTTCGTAGCGGAGCGCGCTAACCGCTCCACCACCGCTCCCCACGTACACAACAACAACACTAAGTGGCGGTGACGTCACCACGACGCTCGTGCCAGGCTACGTGCACTTTGCGGCCACGTGCAGCGTCGAACGGCCGCTGGCAGGAGGTCACGGGGCAGAGGCAGCAGGTGCCACGGGTCGACTGACCGAGCGTGGTTCCTCACCTGGCGCAGCACCGCATGATGGGGGGTGGTGATGGTGGCGGCGGTGGCGGGGACGGCCTCTCAGATCCAGGCAGTGGAGGGAGACGAGAGGAAGGGAGAGTGGGTGACGAGCGGAATGGGTGACGAGTGTGAGGGTGACGAGGGTGAGGGTGGTGAGGGTGACGGGTGAGGGTGGTGAGGGTGGTGAGGAGTGTGAGGGTGACGAGCGGAGTGGGTGACGAGCGGAGTGGGCGACGAGTGTGAGGGTGATGAGGGTGAGTGTGAGGGGTGTAAGGGAGAGGAGTGTGAGGGAGAGGAGTGTGAGGGTGAGGAGTGGGTGACGAAGGAGACGCTGCGGATCACCACCACTGCTCGCAGGGCGCCGCCATCTCCGAGTCACGTGACGCGGGGCGGAGTGTTGGTCACGTGACTCCACAGCGGTGGGGGGGGGCGGCAGTGATGACGGACCACGTGACGAGCGGCCCCGTCAGCCGCTCCCTGTCACCTCCAGCCAGAGGCGGCCCCGAGGAATCGGGGCGACCGTCCCGGGCCCCGCGCTTGAGGGGGGGGGGGGGCATGGCGCGCGCCTCGTCGTCACGGGTGTCAGAAGATCCCTGGGTTTAGAAGTTTGAGTGTTCTTCTCGTGATCACGTGGGGATTTTTTTCTCCGGATGCTCCGATTTTTAAATCCTTTATATTGAGTTCGCATGCTTGCTTGCACGCTTACGACCGTGCAAATCTTTCGGTCGTTTTTTAACCCACTTCCCGTGATCCAATCGAGCTGACATTTTGCACACAGACTCGTGGTGCGAGACAGTTAATGTTCGTGAAAAAAAATTAGCAAAATTTTACACTGTTTAGGGAAAACAAATTAAATATTTAATTACCAATTGTTTAATACTGCAGACAATCATCTGACCCATAGGTAGCAGCCATCTCAAGCCAGAGGACGAGAGGACTCTAGCCGCCACGCATATAAAGGATTTAGAGTGAAAAACTTTGTTTTTACGGGTTAATTTTTTCAATCCTTTATATTAAGTTCGCTTGCTTGCTTGCGCGCTTACGACCGTGCAAATCTTTCGGTCGTTTTTTAACCCACTTCCCGTGATCCAATCGAGCTGACATTTTCCACACAGACTCGTTGTGCGTGACAATTAATTTTCGTGAAAAAAATTTAGCTAAATTTTACACGTTTTACTTGAGTCAATAGAATTGTTATAACAACACAATTTTTTTTATTAATTTACATTATTAACTATTTGATTATTTAAATTTACTGAGGTCACCTCTATTTATTTATTCCATGAAGGAGCATTTTGCTTCTCTATGGGAGAATGGAGAAGCATACATTTTGTAAATGTTTTGAATTATTGTTATTAAACATTTTGATTTTAATGATTCTACCCGGGCTTTTCATTCTGTGGAATGAATATGTAATTGTTATAGTTGTACTCTCCATTTTGCTTCGTTCTACTACAAAGTTTAAAGTATTTTTTAATAGTTATAATTACTTTTAATATTTTATAATTATAAGAGAATTTCAATATATTATGAACATCTGCAGTTTTAGTTCGACGTTGAATATTTTCAAGTGAATTTTATGCTCAATTTCAGCTTTCCAACGCCTCCTTATTAATACGTGCTTTCTCCTACAACATCAGAGTGCAGCGCCACATTAAATACGCACTACAATTACAATAGTTTAAAGCGATTTGAAGCATGTTTTATTTTGAAAATGTAACGAGCTTTGTGACGTCATATTTGAGGGGGTCTGACTTTTTGTGACGCCGTGTGACGAGGGGGGGAGGGGGTCAAAAATCGGCCAAAATCACGTGACGTCGTTTATGGACGGCCCCGTATGTGACCAAGTCGCTTCTGAAAAAAAGTTCATAGCTCATTGGGCTTTACCTGGTAACATATAAAATAGTTTAGTTTTATTTGTATATGTTTAAAGTGATTTGTTTACCTTTCCTTTATGTTGCACCCCTATTGTGTTTGTGTATTGTGTTTGTTGTTGTAACGTTTTGACCCCCGTGCCCCTTACAGATCATTTGTGAAAAAGGGCTTCATAGCTCATCTGATTCATCCAGCATAAATATTCTGATTAGTAAAGTTTGTCACGTAACCAACCTTACCAATTGGCTGTTGTCGGGCGGTGGTGGGTTAACGACATATTTATATTCACGCGATCTAACCCCATATAACTTTTATTATGTACAATGGATTTTCCTGCAGTCCTCTGCTGCATATAACTGTAGCCCTATAGCAGCCTAAATAAATAAGTAAACTCGTCAAAAACTCAACATATTCGTCAAAAAGGTAGAATCCGGCCTCGGTGTGTGTTGCAAGGGCCAAAACTTGGTCACAGCATCTGCGTCCAGGCGTTCCAGGATGTTATAGGTGGTGCACAGGAGTGATATCGGCCTATAGCTTCCCAGGTCGTCGGTTGGCTTGCCCGTTTTTTTGCTATGGCAATCACCATCGCCTCCCGCCATGCTTTTGGGATGCAACCGGTTTTCATGGTTTTTGTGTACAAGGTTGCCAGCCATTGGTGTCCCCTATGGCCTAAGTGATCGAGAAATTCTGGGGTGGATACCATCTCTGCCGGCAGCCTTGCCTTTTTTCATTGCAGCCCTGACCCTCCGTGACTTCCTCTGTGCTGATGGCGGTGGGGTCTTGTGAAGAAATTAAGGCCATTTGTCTGGTGTAATTGGCGATGAATCTCTCACTTGATGTTTTTGTCTAGCGGTCCTTTGGTGTTCTCCACTAGTTTGGAGGCCATAGATTTAGGCAGTACTCCGGTATTGTTGGATTAGCAGCACCCAGGCATTGTAGTAGGGCCCAGGAATGGCGGCTGGAGCGTGTGAAGTCCTTTAACGCACTCAATCCACCGCTGGAATTTGGCCCTGCTAGAGTCTAAGGACTAGCAGGGCCTTTGCAACCTGTGGGCTGCCTGGCTGGTTGCACTGTCGGAGCAGCTCCTGGGTCTCGTTTGTCCAGCAAGGAGTGGATTCTCTCCCCGGACACGTCTGGGGATGCTCTTCTGGGCGGCTGCGGTAATGATGCCAACAAAACGGTGATATCATTCCGGTGTTGTGGGAATTCGACTCGCCACTCTCTAAACAGCCACCTTATGGCGATTCCAGTCAGCTTTGACCAGGTTTCACCTTGGTATTCGTTTTGACACAATCACGGGGATTTCAATGCCAATATGGGTGATGATGGCCCTATGTTGACTTTTGGGGAAGCTTGGGAGTATTGTGGGATGTGTGAAGCATGCTTCCACTTTGATCTTTGTTAATTATGGTAAGGTCTTGGTTGTAGACGCATTGCCGCGCGAGCAGAGTGTAAAGCTGCTCGCTCCTTGGGATCGAAAACCAGGTGCAGATCTTCGGCGGACATCCAGTCGGTGAGGTCTTAGCCGTCGGCCTGATTCACTGCATAGCCCCACATAGTACGGTGGCTGTTAAAGTCACCAACTTATGGGACTGGGATTGGCGCACTTGGGAGTGCTGGCTATGGCCATTTTGAATTAGGGGCTTTGTACAAGTTAGTGATGTGCAGCTCCCCTACCTTGATGCTGGTGTTGTAGGTGGCATCTTTTCAGTTGGTGGGAATGCGTAGAACTCTGTGATGGTGTTCTTCGCGTATATGGCGAAGCCATATTTCGGGTGGTATTGGCTCGTCATGAGGTTGCATCCATGGATGCGGTAGCGACTGGCATGTAGGGCATCCAAGACATACGTTTATTCGAGCATCAGGACATCAATGTTGTGTTCGCGAGCTACTCGCACTTCGCCCGGGAGTGTCTCTCAATGTTCAGTTGGAGGATCCTTGTCCCAGGGTCTATCTGGCGCTTTGCTTGTGCTGTTTCTCTGGAGACCGGGAGATCGACGATCGATGTTCAGTCGCCGCGTTGATGGCATTCGTTGTGATTTCTTACTGAACAAAGTGGGCCATGTGAAGACTGCTGCCATCTTCCACTCTATTTTGTGGTTTTCACGTCTGAGAGTCAACACCTACACGTTGATGTCTGAGCTGGCAGCAATAACACAGATCTGATCAGGGTTGTGGCTGTATGCCGATCTAATAGTGGAAGTGTTGAAGCACTTGGTGCCAACACCACTGGTAATTGTCTGGTCAGATCGCCGCGCAAGGAAAATGTTGTGTTGTGCACCTACTCCAACCGACACAGCTAAATGAAGAAAGTTGTCATGTAAACAAACACGCCAATTTATCACTGCTTCAGTACCCTGGTACGTTGGAGAATCAACACACATTTAAGAATTGGGTGACTGATATTTCGCTGGTGGTTACCACCAGCATTGTCCAACAGTGTCCAGAATTCTGTAAATATCCTGCAGTCTTGGGCCTTAATTACGTGGTGTGATCAGTGGCGGCTCCTGCAAAATCTCTCAGGGGGGGCAAATGTCTGGATGATTGATAAGGATAAGGTCCACCCATGCAATGGATAAATTAACAGCTTAAGCATGTAAAGGCAACTTCACTTCTTTAATATTAATGAAAAATAAAGTGACTCTTACAATACATCTTGTTTGTTTCTATACTCACTATTAAAACAAACCACTCAAGTTTATTTTATTAAAGATTCCACTAGGTGGCAACAAATTATATTGTTGGATGAAACATGCTTACGTATGATGACGTAAGCACGTATGATGACGTAAGCACGTTAGGGCGAGCCCTCCCGGAAGCCATAGAGAATGCATTGCAGAGCCCCCGTTCGAAAAAAAACATCTTTGAATTTAAGTCTATGGGGCCACTCGGGGCGATTCTCAGCTGGAAGGAAACCGCCCAAAAAGAGGCGGTACTCCACAGAACGTAGCATGACGCTGATTGGACTATATCCAGAGGCACAGTGACGGCTAGCGTGACTCTGTGGTTGAATGACATTGGTGGTGCGTCGCCCAATCGCCCTAATGAAGAAACCGCCCCTGGGTGTGATGTCATCAATGTGCACTCAAAAGCATGAACAAATAGGTGCATTTGTTCATCACATGACAAATGTACTTATTTGGCAGCACCGGGTGGAGGAGGGTGTCCATCACATGTTTTCCTCACACCATCTGGTCCAAACATTAATTATGAACAACTCGGGACGTCCCTCGAGTTACGAAATTTTCGCGTGTAACGCATTCTAGAAATTATATTATGGATACTCGTCGGTTAACAAAACGTAACTTCTGCGTGAACGAAATTTCACTACGGCACGTGCCGCAAGATTGTTAAACGAGAAGCCACCCGGGAGGCTGCGGCATCCATCCATCCGCGACAGCGTCACGGTGTCCCTGAAGCGCAGTGGTACCGCCTCCCCATCGCCTTGCCAGTCATTCCAACATGCATCAAGACCTATTGGTGAGCTCCCTGAAAAGGCTAAAATATTATTTTTTAAATGAATTAGTATCTTTCAATCGTTTTAATATTTATGGTCTTTATTATTATATTCGTATTTTGAAAAGTGTAAAAGGTGAGGAGGTAACAAAGTGTCTTCAGCCAGCAGTGGAGTGTTCATGGCTAAGGTTTGTGATTTCATCCGGGTTATTTTTGTAAAACTGATCACAACCGAGGTATGTAACTACTATGAAAAACTAAACTAGTTTTTATTTTAGCAGGTGAGGCCTACCGAGATATATCGCTCTTTTTCAGATGGGACCTGACTATCACAAATGATAGCCCAACGAAGTGGCTCATCACGTGGAAATTTATTGCAGCCAAATACTCTAAACGCATGACGTTGATTCTGGAGGGAAAACCCGGAGGAGCCGGAGAAAACCCACACGACCATGGGGGAAAAAAAGAGCCAGATGCAAACTCCAAATATACAGCAGCAGGCGTCAGGGTCGGGATGGAAACTCACGACCTCCTGCATACCAGGCGAGGGAATTAACATCTCGCCACCACGACACCTGTATGTACGTATGTACGTATGTACGTATGTACGTTGAAATTATTTCGTACAGTATGTAGCCAATCATGGGAAAAGCTATTCCAATTCATGAAATTTCGTTTCATACGTGTTTTATTTTTTAAACCCGCATCCCTTTCGTAAAATCGAGGGATACCTGCATTGGTTGCAAAAGGGCCCACAACATGTCAAACAAAACCGTTTATGTTTGGCAGAGCAGTATAGTTCGAGGCTTGAGCCAAATTGCGGATGTTGCGGCTGACTCGCAATGCTCGACAGCAACTTGGCGTTTCACACAGCGCTCTGGATCGTTCGTGACGGGCAAGTTCTTGACAGGCATTCGTGAGAGCTGCACCCGAAGTGAATAGTTATGATAATTGGTTCTTTACCCTTCTATCTGGCAACAAAACTGACACCTTTTTGCAAGGAGTCATGTTTGCATAGACCGCAATACCTGCAGTCATAAATACAAACAAAAGACATAACTCTGATAATGTGCACTGTCCTTGAAGTTGATTGGTCCACACCCGAGACAGCTTTCCTTCGAGCCTAGTCTCATATGGGTTGGACCAGATGACGCCAAAAGGCGCACAACTCAACCAACCCATATGAGACTAGGCTCGAAGGAAAGCTGTCTCGGGTGTGGACCAATCAACTTCAAGGACAGTGCACATTATCAGAGTTATGTCTTTTGTTTGTATTTATGACTGCAGGTATTGCGGTCTATGCAACCATGACTCCTTGCAAAAAGGTGTCAGTTTTGTTGCCAGATAGAAGGGTAAAGAACCAATTATCATATTTTACTGGCAAATGAGGTCCCCATAGTGTAGATGCTTGCCCCGAGCTCTCATACTCTGATGGTGCATTGTCCTTGAGTTGTGCGCCTTTTGGCGTCATCTGGTCCAACCCATATGAGACTAGGCTCGAAGGAAAGCTGTCTCGGGTGTGGACCAATCAACTTCAAGGACAGTGCACATTATCAGAGTTATGTCTTTTGTTTGTATTTATGACTGCAGGTATTGCGGTCTATGCAAACATGACTCCTTGCAAAAAGGTGTCAGTTTTGTTGCCAGATAGAAGGGTAAAGAACCAATTATCATATTTTTACTGGCAAATGAGGTCCCCATAGTGTAGATGCTTGCCCCGAGCTCTCATACTCTGATGGTGCATTGTCCTTGAGTTGTGCGCCTTTTGGCGTCATCTGGTCCAACCCATATGAGACTAGGCTCGAAGGAAAGCTGTCTCGGGTGTGGACCAATCAACTTCAAGGACAGTGCACATTATCAGAGTTATGTCTTTTGTTTGTATTTATGACTGCAGGTATTGCGGTCTATGCAAACATGACTCCTTGCAAAAAGGTGTCAGTTTTGTTGCCAGATAGAAGGGTAAAGAACCAATTATCATATTTTTACTGGCAAATGAGGTCCCCATAGTGAATAGTTATAGTTTGGGTACAGGAATCAAACCGTTCACGAAACGCACACTGCACTGGCGACAGAGTTTGCTGGGCATGGTGCCAGAGTACACGCAAGGAAGAAATAAAGTGCAGATCCTCGAGTGCACCATGTGTGGCAGCCTCAAGGGCAAAATATTCTTGTGAGCCGGCAAGTGATCAGTCACAGATAGGGGAGGCGAGGATTTCATAAAATATGCCAGATGTAATTGCCATGGAAATATATTCCACATTGTGCAACAGAATGCGAACTTTAGGAGGGCAATCTGCAGGGAGCTTCGAGAAGGCGGGCCCACACACAGGCCGTGTGCTGTAACAGCGGTGCGCTGCATGGCCACCCATTATGACATCATCATCATCCTCCTCCTCAAACCTCGACAGCATGAGACTCGGGCTCCCTCCGGTGGCACCACCGCCTCGAGTGGCACCGGTACAGCACCACCATGAGGAGCCAGTAAACGGCGTACGCCACCGCACCGTATGCCAGTACGACCCGCTCGGACGCCAACCGAGCCGAGCGCGCCTCCTGCACCAGCGTGTAGCAGAGCCCCCCAGCCAGTGCCGCCCCCCACACGGACAGCGGCAAGAGGGGCACGTAGCTTCCGACGATCCTCCGGCGGCCCGAGGTGCCCCAGCCTCCCTCGGCGATGGTAAGGATGGCGAAGAGCTTGGCGGGAACGAGGCTGCTCACGTAGAGGACGGAGTAGAATGCGGTGAAGGCCATGACGAGGTTCCTGCGCAGCAGCGAGGCATAGAGGGCCCGGGCGAGTGCCACCACCTGGATGGCGACCATTACCCACACGATGTCCCACAGGCTGCCGCTGTAGAAAAGGCGCAGAGCCGTGGCGGCGACGAAAAAGGGGAAGATGCCGGCCACCAGGGACTCGTACGTCATCCATATGTGGTGCTTGTGCCACCACATGACGTTGTAGAGCCACTCACGGTGGTAAGACTTGGCCCAGCGCGTCTGCTGGTTGAGCCAGCGGAGGTACTGGGCGGGTGTCTCCGTGTGACAGCGCGCCCGGCTCGTGTACCTGGCGGCGGACGAGGAGGAGGGAGGAGGAGGGAGCATGAGGAGGAGAGCACGTGTAATGTTACGTGTAACACATAGGCTTTCGCGACCAATATTGTTCATAATAAAGGTTTTTGGGTTCGATCGCTTAAGTCTGGCAAATTGCCCGATGATGCTGGTTGATGTAATTACCAGCGAAACGTCGTATTCAGATTGTAAATGTTGTGGATTCACTCTTCAACACACCGGTGGGCTGAAGTAGTAACTATTTGGCGTTTTGTTTACATGACAAATTCCTTGCTGATGGCCGTGTCGGGTGGTGGAGGGTTTCGACACATTTATACTTACGCGATCTAACCCAAAAACCTTGATTACGAGTAATGTTCTGATTTGTTTTTATGACTTTCCAAAAGCCGCTGCTGTGAGGATGACCGGAGTTTGCGTGATGGTTTATGCTGCACGTGTGTGTTGAACTTCTTTTGCACCGTACGTAGCCAACCGTGCTAATCGGAGGTGCGGGGGAAGGACAATAAACTAAACACAAAAATCTGTTTTAAATAAATGAGTTTGTCAATACAGATAATATTGGAAGGAAGAGCGTTCCAGACGGCCACAGAAGCGCATCTGAAAGCGCACGATGCGGTGACTGCCTTTGTTCATCGGTTAGTCAAAAGCCGCTGCCACGATAACCAGAGTTCGCGTGGCGATGGTTTATGCCCCTTGGCGAGATCAGCATCATATTCGTAGCGGACCTTATAATGTATTCGTTCAGCAGCCGGAAGCCAATGCAGTTGATCGAGCACTGGACTGACACAGTCGGATCTTGCAGTACCCCCCCGTTCCCCAGGAAAGCCTTGCCGACTTTCAAGACTCCTTTTGCGGAGGGTCCTGCCAGGTTTTCACAGTAGGGGGCTGTATCAGGGGCACAATGTGCGATTATAATTTTAAAACCAGATAGTTGTATACCATATATATACATTACAGGGAATACATCATGAACAATGCCAATGTGAATCGTGTTTTCACTGCGACGTCAGCCTGCGGTCATCCCATGGAAGGGACAAATAACTGAGATGATGAGGGAATGCCGACTGTATATCACCCTATACCAGGGGTCGGCAACCTATGGCTCCGGAGCCGCATGCGGCTCTTTACGGGCTGCTTCTTGACGATATGTACGTATGTACAGTATGTACTCAGATGCATTGCGGCTCTTGAAATACTGAATTTTATACCGAATTGGAAAGAAATGGCTCTTCTTGTTATTTTGGTTGCCGACCCCTGCCCTATACTCTACCGCTCAGCCGCGCAGCTCGCGAAAGCAGTTCGTCAACCGCTCAGAAACCGCGTAATAACAGTGCGCGTTCCGCCTTTTAACAGGATGCACGTTCCGCCTTACAACAGGATGAGTATTGCGCGTTGTGCGAAAAGTGTTCCTGAGCAGGAGCACCACGTTTCAGCCAAAATGCATCATGTGAACACGACGTGTCAAGCGAAGACTTCATACCGCACCGTACGAATCCTCCATAATGGTCCCTACAACATCAGCATTCCCTACCCCCTCCACGCTGGCGTCAATCCCTGCGCCCTGACCGCTACACCTCTACCGCTCCCCCCTACGTGCACACACGCGGAGACGGAGAGAGAGAAAGGAGACAGACGCAGGGGGTTGTCGCTGCGGTTCGCCTCGCCTCGTAGCGTAGCCCATGCTGAGAACCCGGTTGGTGAGGTGGCGGTCGTCCCCGAACGTGCAACGAGCCCCTAGGAACGACTGGTTGTACCACGGTTCGACGAGCTGCTGCAGCAGCGTGTTGCGGTAGAGGCCTGCTAGCGGTAGGGCGCCGGGCAGCGTTGGAGGTGGGGAGGGGTCACACAAAAACATTTCACGAGAATCGTTTTACTCTGTTCTGTGCTCGGCAGCAATGCGTTCACGAGTTGAATGCCAACGTCGGTCTGCAGGTACACGACAAGAGGGCGTTACGGTGGCTAGGAGATATTAACTACCTCGTCTGGTATACGGGAGGTTCGTGAGTTCGATCCCGACCCTGACGCCTGCTGTATACTTGGAGTTTGCGTGTCTCTCTCTCTCTCCACGTGGTGCTGTGGATTTTTCTCTCCGAGTCCTCCGTTTTTTTCCCTCCATGCTTAGAATCGACGTCACGCGTTCAGAGTATTTGGCTGCTGCTATCTTTCTTTCTATAAAAAAGTCAAAAATTGTGTGTGGGTTTGTGGCGGGGTTTGTGTGGGTTTGTGTGTGGTCGCGCACTTGGCTCTCCAACGGTGGGGTTTTACGTGAAAATAAAATAGCCAGATATCACGCCGTAAGCCCCACGGTGAGCAAGCGATATTCCTTGTTCACATCCGTCAACTTAAAATTAGTTTAATTAGTGATTTAGTGCGATTTTTGTGTGCTTCCCATTTATTTATTTATGACGCCTGCACGACCATACCAACGCACGCGCCTTTGGTGGGGGGGGACGGCCCATGCCAAGTCGCACGCCTTTGGTGGGAGTGACGGGGGCATTTTCTTTCGCGTTAAAAATGCTATAAAAATACACTAAACGCTGATGTAAATGTTTCAGTGTGATGTCCCCCCCACCCCGATGCATGTGATGTCCCCCCCACCCCGATACATGCAGTTATTACTATTATACAGTCGCTAGATGCTACCACTATAGGCCATACATATTACTGCAGAGCGGCCGGGGAGATCGTGGCTGGGGGGGGTGGGGTAAGGGGTAGCAGCCCAGCCCCAGCCTGCCAAGGTGCCACCTCGGCTGGCTGGACAATCTCGGCGAGGCCGGAGGCTCTGCACCGGACTAGGCCTCACCACGCCACTCTGTCAGGTGAGTAGTTTGTGCTATAGAGTCCATAAATACTGCTATAGAGTCAGCATGTACTACTGTAGTGATAGCAGGTACCACCACAGGCGGTATGCACTGCTGTAATCATGGCAGGTACCACCACAGTTAGTATGCACTGCTGTTAGATTTTTGAGAGTAGGTTTAGAATATTTTTTGGACCCGGGCAATGCCGGGTACTTCCCGCTAGTACGTGATAAGCCACTTCGTTGAGCTGTCATTTGTGATGGCCAGGTCGCTTCTGAAAAAGAGTTTTACAGTTCAGTGGGACCTTACCTGGTAAAATAAAAAATACAGTAGACTCTCGATTATCCACGCTAATAATGGTAAAGACGGTCGCGGATTATAATTCAAAATTGTGGATAATCCAAACATACAATATCCATTTTCCGTAGATCTATATGCCAAAAACCACGAAAATAGGTATAAATTATTTTGAAGTTAAGAAAATGGCACGAGGTTATATAGGCCTCGGCAGTAGGGGGGGAGAGAGAAGGGGGAAGGGGGCGGGGCAGAAAGTGGACCCCGCAGCAGCACCCGGGTCACTGGAGTAAAGTGGGCCACCGCAGCAGCACTGGAGAGATCGGCTGCAGGGGGGGGGGGCGTAGAGAGAAGGGGGGGGGAAGCGGGGCAGAAAGTGGGCCCCGCAGCAGCACCCGGGTCACTGGAGTAGAGATCGGAGAGACACAGAGAGTCTAAATGATCAAGTTCAAATCGGAGCAATCTTATTCTCTCTGAGATTAGAGCTAGGCTGGCCCTAAACACCATAGGGCCCGTTGCATCTCAGACCAGCATCCCATAGCCAGTGAGCTGGAGCACGTACACAAAGCCCTCAGGATGAACGGATATTCTGACCGTACAATCCGCAAAGCTGTCTCCCCAGCCATGGGGAGACAACCATCTGAGGATCCAACCAATACCATCACTTTGCCATACATAGCAGGGGTTACCAAAAAGATTTCCAAAATCTTAAACAAACACAAGATCCAGGTTCGTTTCAACACAGTACATAAAATACGTGATTTGATCCCATCTGTAAAGGATGCGATTCCTGATATGCAATACCCGGGTGTATACAAACTGAGTTGTGGCTACGGCAACAGTTACATTGGGGAAACGAAACGACATGTCTCAGACCGCATTTGCGAACACAAGGCAAATCTGAAACACGGTAGGATCAATACCTCTGCTGTTGCTGATCATTGTGTTAATGCAGTGGGCTCACACGAAATTGACTTTTCCAAGACGAAGGTACTCTGCAAACCCACCGGCTATTATCAGAGATTTGTTCATGAAGCCATCCATACAAACTGAGCAATCATTGGAAGGACGTCATTAACCAGGTAAAGTCTTAACTGACTGTGATGTTTCCATCCTACCTGCCTATGTCAGCTGTTATTTCCGACTTTGTGTGTCTTTCTCTCTCTGTGCATCTCTCACCGATCTCTATTCCAGTGACCCGGGTGCTGCCGCGGGGTCCACTTTTTGCACCGCCTCCTCCCCCTTCTCTCTCCCCCCCTGCAATCGACCTCACCAGTGCTACTGCGGTGGTCCACTTTACTCCAGTGACCCGGGTGCTATTGCGGGGTCCACTTTCTGCCCCGCCTCCTCCCCCTTCTCTCTCCCCCCTACTGCCGAGGCCTACTATATAACCTCGTGCCACGACAGATCTCTCGCCTACTTCAACAGTTTTTTCTTGCTGTGGTTGTCCCACCTGATGGCGATTGCTTGTGTTGCGATCGAAACATCGTGATCTATTATTTTTCTTTCTACCTACGTGACTTTACCGAAAGAAGCAAAGAGTATGGGTTCCTGCAATCACGAAAACTTCAAATCAAGATTAAATACGTAAAGGTAACAATACTCACAATTGAGTTGTCACGCGTCTTTGCTTTCATGCCAGCCCCATCGGTCTAGGACTTTCTCAAAAGGGGTGGATACCGCAACGTTATGCTGCTCTATTGATATGATAGCCAGGGTTGCTGTTAATCGGGTTTGTCCGATATGTGGTTAAACCGCACGCGGATAATCGAGAGCCTTACTGCCATAGTACAAATTTTCATTGCCTGTAAACGACCACTTTCGCGCGTTGTTTACAATACGTTTTTTACGGATGCTGTTTTATTCCTCACTCTAATGCCATCGTGTTTTACGCCGTATCTGCATTACAATAAATTAGGCAGATTTAAATTAGTATTTTGTTTAGATAAAGTGTGCTATTTTGATAACAATCCATTTTTAACTTGTTTTAAAAAAAAAGTTTTTCTCTTGCAATTATGATTTGCTATCACTTTTTTATTTGCTTATCTGCTATTGATTATTATTGATTTATTTTACTGTGACGTTGCGTATATCGGGGAAGCGGCGTTGTTTTTGTTGATGAAACCCGATTCAAGAAATTCTTGGCTCACAGGGTAATTCAAAATAAATTGAACTAAAACTGAGTTGTGCTTTTAAATTCGCAGCACCACGCTGCTTCTTTGCCACCCCCCCTCACTCACCCAGGGGTCCGCTGATGCAGGACACGCAGTGGAAGTAGGACTGGCAGGCGCGCTCGACGTTGAAGGCCATCCAGTAGCGGAGGCCGCTCAGGAAGCTGATAAACGACTCGGAGGCGTTGAGAACGCGCACGTCGCCGCCCGCGGCGCCCACGCCCGCGTCCGCGTCCAGCAGCCGCGCCAGCTCCGCCGTGGCGTCGCAGTGTAGCCTCGTGTCCGAGTCGCACACCTGTTACCAAACCGAGTGGCACACCTATTACGGATCTGAATGGCACACCTGTTACTGAATGCACACACGTGTGTGGTGATGCTGTGTGTAGTAGTGATGCTATGTGTGATGCTGTGTAGTGAAGCTGTGTGTAGTGATGATGTGTATAGTAGTGATGCTGTGTGTAGTGATACTGTGTGTTTATGCTGAGTGATGATGCTGTGTGTGTTGATGCTGTGTGTAGTGAAGCTGTGTGTAGTGGTGATACCGTGTGCAGTGGCGATGCCGTGTGTAGTGATGATGCCGTGTGTAGTCGCGATGCCGCGTGTAGTGATGATGCCGCGTGTAGTGGTGATGCTGTGTGTAGTCGCGATGCCGCGTGTAGTGGTGATGCTGCTCGCTCACCTGCACGTAGTCGACGCTCGCGCCGAGCGCCCTGAACGCCGTGTACATCGCCTCCCGCTTGCCGCCCCACTGCTGCATGACGCAGACGCAGCGCGCGGAGCGCACCGCCTCCTCGAGCTCGCGCCGATCCGCCGCCTCCACCAACTCCGCGTCCCGGTCGGGGGCCCCCTCCGCGGCCGTGGTGGACCACTCGGGCCGCTGGCGCCGCGGCTCCGACGTGTGGTAGTTCCCACGCCACACTACAGTGCGCGCATCCTCCTCCGCCTCGTCGCGGAAGACCTCGCGGAAGAGCTCCATCATATACGCGTCCTCGGCTCCGTTGCCGTCCACCACCATGACGACCTTCGGTTGTCGCGTCGGGGACATTGCGCAACGTTACTACTACTACTACACATGGTATTGTGGGGATGGGGCGCCACGGCGGCCAGCTGTTAGGTACCTCCCCTGGTGTGCAGGAGGTCGTGGGTTCGATCCCAACCCTGACGCCTGCTGTATATAAGAAGTTTGCGGTGTTTCTCTCCCTGTGGTAGTGTGGATTTGTTTGCGGGTCCTCCGGTTCTTCCCACCACATTTAGAAACAATGTGCGTTTAGAGTACTGTTTGGCTATTATAAACTAGCCTTTTGCCCGTCCAAGGATGGGTGTGTTGCAGTAAATCTGAAACTTGCAAGCGAAAAGCAGACCGCGACGTGATATTGCATCCATTCGTGTGCAATTTGTAAGGGCGCGGTGACACGCACCTATTTCATTTTAAGGTTATAATCCCTTGTTCATCATGACGTCCTTTTTACTTCTATGTCTCAACAGCGTTACGGAGATCGCGTGACGTGAGGGTTCTGCCTTTGTAGTGAGGGTTGTAAGTTGACGCCGAGGAGGGGGGAGGAGGCGCCTCGCTCCCCCATGTGAAGTGACGTCACCCGCTAATTATTATTAATGGAGGGGGGTGTCCATTTGGAGGACGTCACCTGTTCGATGTGGAATGATGTCACGTGCTCATGATTATTAATGGGGGGGGGGGGGTTCTCCATGCGGAGTGACATCACCCACTCATGATTTATAGTTTAGTTCTATACTTTCCAACAATTTCCAAAAATACCGTGGCAACACCTGGGGGATTTTGCCACTGATCTCGGAGATGAGAGGCGTACGTGAGAATCGGGCGTACGTGAGAATCGAGTGTGCGTGTGCATGTGCGTGCGAGTGGCCAACCAACCTTGAGCTTGTCCCGTGGGTAGGACGAGTCCCGCACGGACACGAGGCACCCGCGCAGGTAGCCAGGGTCCTCCTGGAAGGCCGCGATGGCTATCGCCACGCTCCGCCGGGGCTCCCACGGCGTCCCGTCACGGGCGCGCTCCGCCCGGCGCCACTCCAGGTAGGCGAAGCCGCTCTGCGCGAGGGCGTGCGCCAGCAGGAAGGCGCCGTACAGACCCAGCGACACCAGCCGCTCGCCGTCCGACCACAGGTCGGCGCCCTGCACGTAGGTCCACGTGAGGCCGCCCGCCACCAGCAGCGCGAAGAGGGCGGTGGCGATGCGGCGGCACAGCGGCGGTGGCACGGGTGGTGGCGATTCGACAGCCACGGCCATCGTGGGTTGTGGCAGCTGCTGCTGTGCTGTGATGAGAGGGGGGGGGACTAGCCCAGATCCTCCCCCTACCTGAGTACAGAGGGAGGAGGCCTCATAAGCAAGCGGACAATAGCAGTCAGGGGCGCAACGACCTCTTACAATGGGGGTTGGGGGGGGGGGATGGCAAGATCCGACGGTGGGCCCCCACTTCTTTCTCCCGTCTCACTTTCGCTGCAATAGCTACGGATGGGTTTTAACCCTGTATAACAATAACTCTTTATGTATTAGTATTTTAGTTGCCGCACCGTGTATTAGGTTTCGAGGAAAATAGTCCTGAGTGAGTATTAATGTACGAAAGATATAACGGTAACAATCTTCACAATTTAGTTGTCCCACATCTTTGCTTTCATGCTCGGCCCTATCGGTCTAGGACTTCCTAAAAAAGGGGGTGGATCGCGCAACTTAATGCTGCTCTACTAATGTGATGAAGCCAGGATGCCTTCATCATCGGGCTCGGCCCATGGTAGACTGTATTTAATTTTGAATGAAATATAAAAAAAATATATTCTTAACCTTGTTTTTGTACTTGTGTTTATCTGTGGATTGGGCCCCCGTTGTAACTGACTGGGCCTCCTATGCATCACATAACGCTGCCGCATACCCCAGAGATGTACCCCTGATTGTCGTAATAATAATGTCAACTTGTAAACTATAAACAATTTCTACTTTGCCAGGGTAATGTCCACACTGAGCTATATTGCTCTTTTTCAGGAGCGACCTGGCCATCACAAATGATAGCTCAAATGAGCGGCTCATCATCATGTGGAAATTTAGAGCAGGCAAATACTAGATCTGAAGCTTTCGTGACTGCAAAAATCCATACTCTTTGGTTCTTTCGGTAATTTGAGGGGAAAAACCGGATGACCCGGAAGAAAATCCACGTGACCACGGGGAGAGAGCGAGAGACGCACGGACTCCCAATATACAGCAGCAGGCGTCAGGTTCGGCTTCGAACACACGACCTCCTGCATACCAGTCGAGAGGCGCAATGTCCCGTTCGCTTTCGTAGAGGAAAGAGAGGGGCGGTTCGGAGCCGCAAAGAGGAGCCACGCAAGACCAGGAGCGGGAAGCCAGCGGCAGCAGCAGCCACGCGGTGTTTGAGCCAGTGCTACCAACGATTGCCGAAGCTCTGTTGTCCTCTACTTGTGAAGGTGTTCTCGGCCAATTCGCGATGAGCGTTTATGCATTTAGGAGGAAACACTCTAACACTTTATCACTCTAACACTCTAACACTCTAACACTCTATCACTCTAACACTCAATCACTCTAACACTCAATCACTCTAACACTCTATCCCGTTGTTGGCGACTGTACCCCACTGTACCCCCCCCCCCCCCTGGTCTGACACTGGTGAGACAAGGACATAAAGAAGGCTGTCCCTGGTGCAGGCCAGTCGGTTTAAAAGACAATGCGTTTATTATCAGAGCATGTTTTGTTTGCATGGTCACCGCAAGTACAGTCTGTGGTTAATGTAGAACTTGGTTCTTTGCAAAAGGTTTCTATTTGGGACTTGATTTGGAGCTTTCGTGACTGCAGGAATTACTCTTTGTTTTTTTCTACATGACTTTACCGAAAGAACCAAACGGTGTATCTATTTGGTCTTTGAACATCTTAATACCTCCCGTTTTATTTCCAGTAAGGGTCAACCCCAGTGGCGGCTCCTGCAAAATCTCTCAGGGGGGGCAAATGTCTGGATGATTGATAAGGATAAGGTCCACCCATGCAATGGATAAATTAACAGCTTAAGCATGTAAAGGCAACTTCACTTCTTTAATATTAATGAAAAATAAAGTGACTCTTACAATACATCTTGTTTGTTTCTATACTCACTATTAAAACAAACCACTCAAGTTTATTTTATTAAAGATTCCACTAGATTTTGATTTAAAACTTTCGTGACTGCAGGGATTCATCTTCTTGGTTCTTTCGGTAAAGTCACGTAGAAGGGAAGTAATAAAATAATAAAAATAAAACATAATAAAATTATTCTCACGACGTTTCGGCCACAACGCAAGCAGCCGTCCTCAGGTGAAAACCAGGTCCGTCGAGGCGACAGAGTCTGAATGAAACAGCACACGAGCCTGGAGCATATATATAAGCTGGGCGCCTTGACAAAGGAATTTGCATATCAAGAGGAATTTAGCATATTTATGGGAAATGCAGGAATGTGATTAGTACTACATATGCATGTGCATTATGCAGGATTAACAGCATCAAAGGGAGCTGCAGTTGCTGCTGCTGCTGCTGCTGCAGTTGCTGCTGCAGTTGCTGCTGCTGCTGCAGTTGCTGCTGCTGCTGCAGTTGCTGCTGCTGCTGCAGTTGCTGCTGCTGCTGCAGTAGCTGCTGCTGCTGCAGTGCTGCTGCTGCTGCAGTTGCTGCTGCAGCTGCTGCAGTTGCTGCTGCTGCAGTTGCTGCTGCAGTGCTGCTGCTGCTGCAGTTGCTGCTGCTGCTGCTGCAGTTGCTGCCTTATCCATTTTAATATAACACTATGTATTATTCTACCCACCCTAATGTGTATCACACTGCTATATATTTACTATACAATTACGACACCATACATTACTCTGCACACTGCACCATGCCAGTGAGTGGAACGTTGTGGCCGAAACGTCGTGAGAATAACTTGCGTTGTGGCCGAAACGTCGTGAGAATAATTTTATTATGTTTTATTTTTATTATTTTATTACTTCCCTTCTACGTGACTTTACCGAAAGAACCAAGAAGAAGATTCCACTAGGTGGCGATAAGTTATATTGTTGGATGAAACGTGCTTACGTTTGATGACGTTAGCACGTATGATGACGTAAGCACGTTAGGGCTTGCCCTCCCGGAAGCCATAGAGAATGCATTGGAGCGTGCCCCCGTTCGAAAAAAAACATCTTTCAATGTAAGTCTATGGGGCCACTCGGGGCGATTCTCAGCCGGAGTGAAATCGCCCAAAAATAGGCGGTACTCCACAGAACATGACATGACGCTGATTGGACTATATCCAGAGGCTGACAGTGACGGCTAGCGTGACTCTGTGGTTCAATGACATTGGTGGTGCGTCGCCCAATCGCCCTAATGAAGAAACCGCCCCTGGTCAACCCTATTCTTATTGTATCCAGTGCCGGATTAAGCTAGTGCGGGGCCTGTAGCATATGCTATAAAGGGGCCCTAAATAAAACAACACAAATATTAAAACACACATTTTTTACTTGCACAGTAAAGTCATTGTATTTTTTCATTTTCTATACAGCCAGATAATACAACAAATTTCTAACCTTAAACACCCAGTCGTTCATAAAAGTTGAAAGCAGTATAGTACTATAATAACAGAGCAAGTGCAGAATCACTAAACCGGAATTGATAGCTTGAAAGAATTTCGCGCGGCGCCCTTGAAAGTGTGGGGCCCGTAGCATATGTAGCTACTTTTGCTACTTGGATAATCCGGCACTGAGTATATCCCCCTTGCCTGGCCCAACGTGGTTCTGAGAAATAAATGTATGAATTATGAACATCATAAATATTTGTGAGGTTTGTCCTAACTAGCTAAGTAACTGCAAGCAAATAGAAAAAAAATCAACGGACGCCCCACGTGCGTGACGTGATGTATTCACGGTCGCTGGTTACTCTTGGAAACCGACATTGTTTACGATCAATGAGTTTAGGTCAGCATTTATTAACCTTTACGACGGCGTTTACCCCCTTTGCTTCTCAATCGTTAAGAAATGTACGATGGAACAAAGGAAGTTGTAACTTACGTGCCCGCGGCTTCATTTGTGTTTAAGATTATTTACATTCTAAAAAAATCTGGCAATGCCTTTCACACCAGATTAAGAAGAACTACTGGTCGAGGTCACCACACGGATTAATACTCTATCGTTGTGCGTATTCATACACGATCATTCACCAATGACTCTCACGTAGGATATAATTCCACGCATTTAAAAATCAACTCACCTGACCACCTCCTGGGACATTGCCACGTGTACCCCCAGGGGCCCGCATACCCCCGGCTGAGAACCACCGCTCTGTCCCCACACAGACGGGACAGGTGGGAGTCAACATTGTTGCTGTACCGCCATCTCGTGGCGAGCCAGGGGTATAGGGGCCATCCATTTAATACGGACGCATGGAGGCGGGAGGGGGGTTAACAAAATGCGTACGCTTGCGTATGGGGGTCTACTGACAATGCACGTACGCATAGGAAACGGGGTGGGGGGGGGGGGTGAAGCTTCGATAATAATGCAGCCGGCGGTGGACTATCTATTTGCTTAAACACATTAATATTTTTAATCATTGATCATTTCTGCGTGGATTAAATATAGGCCGTTCTATAGGATTCGGGAGGGGGGGGCGGGGGTGCGTCAAGCGTACGTACGAAAGGAGTTCCACAGCCCATCTGTGTGGTGATCCAACAACCCTCGCTGCTGCTGCCTCCACAGTGCTGGGTTACGTGCCCCGTGCGTCGACTGCTGCGTGCGCACCCTCCTCTGGCGCGTGTGGTGACGGGGTCGGTGGGAGACACGAGAGGATGAGACCGGGAGACTGGGGTGACATCGGAGTTGACACATTGGAGGAGACATGACAAGGAGACACTGGGAGACACCGCCGTGTCTGAGATATCACAATCCATCTCAATCCGGCACATAAACTGGTCTGATCACTCCATCTCTGCGGTGGTTGTCCTGCTGGGCATGTTCTCTCCATCCACTGTTATTCTCTTACCAATCCCATTCATCACCCAAATATCACCCAAATGTGGTCAGGTCCTGACATTTCCATGTCAGGGCTCTATGACACATTCGACCACAATTGGGTCATGACATAGCCAACAAGGTGACGTGTAGCAGAGTATTGACAATGCTCGATTATTGCAACTTACTACTCTACGGGATGTCTGGCAAAAACATTACCAAGCTGTAGCGTGGGCACGTGTCGTGACGGGGTCTGCAAGATCCAACCGTGTCCATTCAGTG